GGTCCGACTTCTTATACCACCGACATGCCTCACATGGCTTCTCGCCATCACACTTGATCTTGCGATGGCGACAAGATGTACAAGCGCGTAAGGTTGTAACACGGCGACTGATGGATTCGCGTCTTTCACTGGTAGACCGATTGCGGGCAGGAGTTGCAGCCGTGGGGTTCTCAAACCCCTCAAACGTATGGAACATTCTTGATGATAGTTATAAGTTCACGACCACCGTGTGGTCACTGAGTGGGCGACATGTGGAGAATAATAGTGTCGTATGATATTTCTGTTGAATTGTGACAGTTGGTTCTTCACATTGCGCAAGGTGGTAAGTCATATGTGTAAGGAAATAGAAGAAAAAAGAAGATTAAAAGGGGAAAAGTAGACTAAAACTGAAAAGACCTAAACAGAACGAAGAAAATAGGCTGATCCGCTTAATCTCCCCGCATTTTCGTGATGGATTTGAGCTATGCAAGTCTTTTTTCCTGTCCGGTCTCACTCGGGTCATAGTGATTGGTCGAGTATATTAGGATGATTATGGGCTAGTGATGCCCGCGACTCCGGCTTTTCCTTGGAAGGCATCCATAGATGGGAAGACGAACTGTCTCTCGCTCTCGGATCTTGTAGCAGAAAGGAAAAATAAAAGCCCTTCAGCCTTTGATTTGCCGTGGGGATTCCCATATCATTAACTCCCGGCATATAACAATATAAGACAAACAGGGGACTTTATGCGGCCACTGGGGTTTCAAGTCCCGAGCTGCCTAATATCCCAGCCGGGAATTGCCACGCCAGCATGAAGAGAGGTGGCTGATGTGCCATTTCATGCGAAATAGCCAATTTCGCTGCCAGTTTTCACACGCCACAGAACGTGCATTGCAGGTACTCGGCCCCCCATACTCCGTAGTGGCATGGATTCCCCAAAGTGAGGGGCAACTTCCCCAGACTCACTTTATGAGCCCTGCAAGATGGGACTGGATCGTATGGGGAACCTCGCTAGCAGTGCATGTCCGTTCTTGCATGGGGATATTAGACCCTGTGGATGGGCCCAGTACCAGCAAATTTCCCTTTGGCCGGACATTTCGACCTGTTGCGCCAATCAATGTGGATGTGTCGAACCTTCTCATTTCATCGCAAGTCTTGGCGCTGTACTCCGTGTGCTCCGTACGGAGTATACCATAATGGCTTGAACTCCGACCCCTGACACCTGGAATGAGGGATTTTCACGAATCAAGGGGCTGGTGCTCATCCCCACTTCTGCTTACCCCGTGTATCAGGAGGGGCATTTTGCCTACTCCGCATGGCGCACTTTGGCGCACCTTGCCATTGGGGACCCTCGCGCCATGTCTCTTTCGAGTCAAGGGCCCGAAACGGGGACACGGACAGTTAAGAGTCCTCATCTTATTTTCTCTCATTCTCAAGGAGACAAAGCAGACCAAAAAAATCAGACTCCGCAAACTCGAAGTAAATTCAAATCCAGCACTCTGCAGAACTCCACGCTCCGACCATTGGTCTCCAGGGAAGTTATCGGGCATGCCAAGCCTGTGGGATGAAAGGGAGCCGAAGGGTCTAAGGTGCCCGGTGCGTGCCGATATTCAACGGTGATTGGTTCGGTTGTGACTTGTGACGAACCATGCATACTAACGGTAATTGGTGCAATAATAATAACAAAGTAAACGTAGAATGACCGAAAGAAGCTGCCTGCACACGAGGGGAAGCAGATGATATACAAGTCCATCAGTCCAGGGAGTCTCCAGGTTTATAATAGCAGAAAATCATGGGAAAGAGACACGAACATCAATAACGCATGGCATTTTGAGCTCGACGGGACCTTTCCCGTGGCCAACCAAGCTCTTAGGTGGATATCACCACCCCAGAGTGTTCAATGAATCCCGAGTTGGTCGCGAGACCCAGTTGAAATTCTAGAGATTTGCAAATTTCTATAGTTTCACTGTATTTGAAGGACACAAGTTGCAAATATACAGGTCATGTGTTGCACTAGTCCCTTTTCAACACGGCACGTTTTAGCTTTCCCAAAGGGGAAAGGGAGTCTCGGGGCTTATCGATAAGGACAAGCCGGTCTCCAACTATGTATAAATCCGGGGCAGACAAAGCTACCTCTTTCATACTGCCAATTGCTTTTCAAAATGGCTAAGATCGTGCATTCCCTGTCTTCTGGCTGGTCCTTCAAGGACCGGGACACCGACGAATGGCTGCCAGTAGCTTCGGTCCCATCTGTGGTTCAACAGGATCTCATTGCTAACAACAAGTGAGCTGGTTTTTCAAACTAAACCTGTCAAATCTAACAGTATTCTTTCGATAGGCTCGATGATCCCTATGTCGGATTCAAAGAATTGGACGCCCGCTGGGTCAACGAGAAGTCATGGGTCTACAGAAATGTCGTGCAAAAGCCATCCGCTCCCGCCGGCTCTTCAATTGTACTGGTCTTCGATGGTCTTGACACCTTTGCCAAGGTCAAGCTAGACGGACAAATGATCCTAGAGAGCGATAACATGTTCCTGGGTCACCGGGTGGATGTAACCAAAGCATTGGAGGCAGAGGGCGAACACACTCTCGAAATTGAGTTCGACTGTGCACTCATCAAGGCACGCGAGCTCCGCGTCCAGAACACCAAGCATAAATGGGTTGGATTCAACGGCGATCCATCGCGCATGGCTGTGCGAAAAGCCCAGTATCACTGGGGCTGGGACTGGGGTCCAGTGTTGATGACCGCGGGCATCTGGCGTGCCGTACGGTTCGAGGTTTATCAGGCCCGCGTGGCCAATCTGTGGCCCCAAACCCAGCTATTCGCAGACTACCAGACAGCTGAGGTGACTACTGTTATCGATGTGGAGAGCGTCGGTGATGGCGAATATACGGCCCAGTTTAGCTTGGGCTTGAAGGGGAAGGAGATTGCAAGCAAGACTATCCCAGTGTCCGGCAAGACCGCTCAAGTCACATTCCCAGTTGACAAGCCGGCTCTGTGGTGGCCCCATGGATATGGCGAACAGACTCTGTACAACGTATCGGTGTCGCTGCTTCGCAATGGTGAACAGGTTGACCAGACATCTAAGAAGTTTGGTATCCGGACCGCCGAGGTAGTTCAACAACCGGACAAGCATGGCAAATCCTTTTTCTTCCGAATTAATGGGATGGACATTTTCTGCGGCGGTTCGTGTTGGATTCCAGCAGACAGCCTGCTCCCTGCTATTAGTGCTGAGCGATACCGCAAGTGGATTGAACTTATGGTCGCTGGCAGACAAGTGATGATTCGGTAAGTATTGCTTTTTCTCCCTTTTCTTTTTTGTTTTGGTCATCTATAACTTGCGTGGATTTAGCTAACCTTGAACAAGTGTATGGGGTGGTGGTATATATGAAGACGACTCCTTCTATGAGGCCTGTGATGAATTGGGAGTGCTAGTCTGGCAAGACTTCATGTTCGGATGTGGTAATTATCCCACATGGCCCTCGATGCTCGAGTCTGTCCGTCAGGAGACAATCTACAATTTGGAGCGTATGCGCCACCATCCTTCGATTGTGCTCTACGCGGGCAACAACGAGGATTATCAAGTTGCAGAGTCAGAAGGTTTGACCTACAACTACGAAGACAAAGACCCAGAGAACTGGTTGAAGACAGATTTCCCGGCACGATACATTTATGAGAAGCTGCTCCCAGATGTGGTCGCTGAATACTCACCTGGCACATTCTATCACCCTGGAAGTCCGTGGGGAGATGGCAAGATATCGTCAGACCCCACTGTTGGTGATATGCACCAGTGGAACGGTTAGCTTCCCCCAGTAGACTTCGAGTTCTCATGCTAATCATCAGAATAGTGTGGCATGGAACGCAGGAGAAGTACCAAATCTTCGATAGTCTCGGCGGCCGGTTCAACAGCGAGTTTGGAATGGAGGCATTCCCGCACCTCTCTACCATTGACTACTTTGTCGAGAATCCGGAAGACAAATTCCCTCAATCCCATGTGATCGACTTCCACAACAAGGCCGACGGTCATGAACGAAGACTGGCGACGTACCTTGTAGAGAATCTACGGACCGCCACAGACCTTGAAGTATGACTATCACCATGATGACCATCGATACATAGCTAATGTCTACAGACCTATACCTATCTCACCCAAGTTGTACAAGCAGAGACCATGATGTTTGGCTACCGAGGCTGGCGCCGGCAATGGGGCGATGAGCGACACTGCGGCGGTGCGCTGCTCTGGCAGCTGAACGACTGTTGGCCGACAATCTCGTGGGCGATCGTAGACTACTTCCTCAAGCCGAAGCCAGCATACTACGCCGTCAAGCGGGTCATGAACCCGATCGCCGTCGGGGTCCAACGTGAACACCACGACTGGAGCGTGGCACACGCCCAGCCACCCAAGACCAGCAAGTACGAACTTTGGATCGCTAGCAATCAACCAAAGACCATCCAAGGTAGTGTCGAGCTGCGATTCCTATCTGTCAACACAGGCCGCGATATTCGGGCTCCGATCGTGCGCGAAAACATCACCATTGCTGCCAATGGCACCACGGATGTAATCGCTGATGGCATCCTGGACCACATTGCCGAGCCAGAACCGCATGTCCTCGCCGCCCGGTTGTGGGTGGACAACCAGGTTGTAGCACGGGATGTGGACTGGCCACAGCCATTAAAGTATCTCAACTTGTCCGAGCGACAGGTAGAGGTCAAGAGGCAGACAGGGAAATCTGGAGAGACGGTGTTGGTGATTAATGCCCGCAAACCGGTCAAGTGTCTTGTTTTCGAGGAGCAAGAGGGTGTACAGCTTGGAGACAACGCTATTGACATTGTCCCTGGTGATGAACAGACGATCATAGTTACTGGCCTTGGACATGAGCCTCTGAGGTACCGGTACCTGGGACAAGCATCTTGCCAAGTTGTTGAATGAGTAGATACTACCTATGCTATATAGCAGTGGACAATATGATTTCAATGAGCAGAAGCACTTGAAATACCAGGCGTAACTCTTCCCTTTGTAAATATGAAGATATATGATGTTGGAACCTTCAATGTTGGAAGAGCAAATGAAGGTCATCTCATATCTTATCGGCGATCTGAATATTTGAACTTAACAACCTCCAACTTTTCGCCAATGGGTACCAAACGCGACTGGGAAGGCCAGCCTCTCGACTTAAATCCTAAAGACACAGCCATGGCAGGAGCAGAAGTAGAGTCAGCTCGTTCAGTCCTGTCAATCTTCGAGAACTTCCGCGACGAGTTGGACGAGCACCATGACCGCCGCGAGCGTATCATCAAGAAAAGCCGCGACATTACGGCCCTGAGCAAGAAGATGTATGCATCCACTCCCGCTAAAGAAGAGCATACTAAACGATGTTCCTCTAGTATCTTCGCTCTCCAACGAGTCCGCGCGACAAACCAACCCCTCCCACCTAACATCGCCCAAGAAAACCAAACCCGCTTCGACCAGATTCACACACTGTTCGAAGAAGTCGTTCCCGAACAAGTAGGCATCAACGGCTGGCGATACCAGCGGCAAATCAGTGGAGGAATTCAAGAATTCATCGAAGCCGTCTCCTTCGACCACTACCTCCGCACGCAAACGCTCATCACCCACGCTGAGTGCTCCGCCCGGGTCCCACCACAAGTCCTTATTTCCGAGGAAGACTACCTAATGGGCCTTTACGATCTTACAGGAGAGATGATGCGTTTCGCAGTTCTATCGCTGAGCTCCGGGAACGCAACTGCTACCCAGTCCGAGAACACAGCCAGCGAAAGGGAGAAATCGACGGTCGCTTCGTCCCAGGGTGGCATTGTGGGTGATCTACGAGCTATACGTGCTGGCTTTGAGGCCCTCAGTGTGCCCCAGCGGCATTACATGTTCCGAGATATGGCGAAGAAGCTGGATGTGATGCAAAACAGCGTGGAGAAGGTTGAGCGGGCAGCGTATGGGATTGTCGTTCGTGGGAGTGAGAGGCCGAGCGGGTGGACGCCCGATCTGTCAGCCGCTGTGGAGGTGGGATCCTACTAAGAAAACTACATATCATGAGGTATCCAGGAATGATCAATGGCTTATTTTGAATTACAACTGTACATCGATGTACTCTGTTATAGTCCGGGTCTACATGTCTTTCCATACATGTAGGTATGCCAGGAACTATACCTAATTTCACAATTAATGTCTTTCTCCATCTACATACCCCAGTATCCCCCCATTGACTTATTTTTACATTTTATAGGAATCGCATATTCTGTATTTGACATTGCGATACAGGTGCGTCATGGTGACATCACTAGTTCAGAGCGGTAAAGACAGTAGAAGACTGTTGAGCATTGGGACTTAGGCATAAGAAACGAAAGGAAAAGAGCATTTCCAATTGTAAAAATCAAAGAGAAGAAGAATAACGCCCTCATAAAACGATCGTGTCATATCTCATAGCACAAAGAGCCACACCTGTGGCAATATTGACTCGATAAGGACAAAAATTAGAAGGGCGAGCGGGGGTTCTCATCCTCGGAGAGAATACCCTGGGAAATCAACTCTTCAGGCTGTGGCCGGTTCTGAATCTTATGCTCGAGGTTATCGGCCAGCATGTGCCTCTTGAGTTCAAGGGCGTGGGCCTGCAGCGCTGGGGCGGCGGAGGTTGCAGGGAGGATATTACCTTGGCGGGTTGTTAGTGTATTGAGAGGAATCCCAGGCACCAATCTCTACAAAACGGAAATAGAAAATAAGAAACGACACAAACGCAGAATAAAAGGGGAAACGAAAGGGAAACGAACGCTCAACCAGCTCGTCCTTGTCAGGTCTCTTCTCCAGGTTCTTCTTCAGACTGTCTGTAGCTCGCTGGCGGTCGAGCTCCTGGCGGGCAGATTGAAGGGCTCTGTTAGTGTGTGTTAACCATATATCTCATGACAAGACTGGGAATATTCCCGGGAGAACGCACGGAGCTACGTTGGTGTCTAGCAGGATGTGGCGGTTCTTGAGGTCCTGCATATCCGGGCGAGTTTGGAGGTGTTTCTCCAGCGAGTTGCGACGCTCGTTGGTCGGGGGAAGGGACTGTTCGATGGAGGACATTGTACCAAGTAATGATAGTCAAAGAGTGTTAGGTGAAATCAGTAGAGGAATGAAATGGTTAAAAGTAAGGCGAAAGTCAAGTGATGTCCCGTGGGACAATCACGCGGGGAAAGCGGCGGTCTATACGTCGACATCATCCAACTATATAACCACAAAAGAGGGGGAAACATCAAGAGTAATGGAATTTTCTGGGATAATCTGGGATAATCTAGGATAATTGGGATGCTAGTAGATCATAAGAGAAAAAAATACAATCCAGTATCATACCATCTCCCAGCGCAAAGAAAAAGCGAAAGAGCAACCGTCTCAACGTCTCCGCAATTTGACGATCTCCCATCTCCATCTCCTAAGGGGAAAGCGTGAAAGGGGGAAAAGGGGGGCACAGTTTCCGAAGTAGACATATCCAAGCAGCGCATCACAGCCGCGGGTCGAATCCACCATGGGATTCATGTCCTTTCGTGTCCGAGATCCGAACCATGCCGGGATTCTGGGATCGTTTATGCCCCGGCGAAGAGGGAAAAACACACTCTGCGGGCAATCACAGCAAGATAGATCCAGATCCACCTCCCCGCGTTGGGGGGATTATTGCAGTCCAGCAAAGAGAAAAGAGGCACCCCTGTCCGGTTCTGGATGCATTGGTTCACAAAACACTCCAGTCTACTATAATCAAGAGATGATTTGGAGTAGACCGTTCTGCTCATGCTAATCAAGGAACCCAGAGCTTACCACGGCCACGACCATTGCCTCGTGCACCGCGCGAAGATCCACCACGGCGACCATTAGATGAGCGGCGAGAGGCTCCAGCGTTACCGCGGGCGGCACCGGCAACACCCTGTTGGGTGCTCAGGTCTACAGTGGGCGGCTTGGTTGCGCCGGCCAGAGACCGGCTGAAAGAGTCCGGATCGATGGGCTTGGTAGGAACTTCCACGGTAGCAGTAGGCTCGGCAGGAAGTGGCGCAGCTTTGGGGACAGCCTTGCGCTGACCCCCACCACGCGAAGCACCTCGGGGAGTTCCTTTTCCACGGCCGCGAGGGACGAAGACTAGCTCATCCTCGTCGCTCTCTTCCTCGTAGGACAACAAGGTCTTCGGCTCGGCGGGTTGGGTCTGAGTTTTCTCAACGTATTTGCAGCGGTTTTTGTACTCGCGCTCCTCGTACTGGATAGCCGTGCGTAGCTGCAGAATGTTCTTAACTCCAATGCCAAATTTCTGAGCCCACACCTGGGTCGCACGGTCATTGGAAATGAGAATGCACGTCTTGGCAGAGTTCTCAGCATCGGGGCCGGCATGCAACCGCCAGAGTAGGGCACTCAGCAATGGGCGCAGAGCGGGCGGCGCGGTCGGGATGACGGATCCGGAGATGGTGCGCTGATGGTTAGAAGACTTGCTCTTGGTCTTCACATTCTTTGTTGTCCCATCGCTGGACTCATGCTGTGCACACTCGGGGCTGGTACGGGAGCTGCGAGAGGATGTGCGCGATCCAGGGCCACTGGGGGTGCCGACAGAAGTGATCGACACAGCCTCCGGGTCCTTCTTGAAGTTCAGCTTGGATAAGAGCATCTGCGAGAGATCATCCGACTCGTTCTTGTTCACAGTGTCATCGGCGCTATGTTGGACTGCTGGCTCGTCATTGGTAACTGCCTCGTCAATTACCTCGGGCTCCTCTTCGAATTCCGGCAGGAAGAATTTCTCGGCCTCCTCCCAGCGCTCGTACTGCTCCATGGGTCCCTGGAGGACAACTCGGTCGGCGGCGATGTGATCTTTGCCGGAAGTGACCCGGTCAAGAAAGCGGACTGCTTCGCGGGCATTGATGGCGACTTGTGATCCCGCTCGCTTCAGCGCATGGAGTCGTTCAAGTGCTAATCAGAGGATAATGGTTAGACCGGCAAGCGCCACAGTGAGGCAGTCAAAGTCTATGCAGCATGCAGGTACTCACTGTAAAGAGGAACCACGAGATCGATAGCGCCGTTAGTCGTCCATTTCTTGATTTCGCTAATATTGGTGGACAGGGCCGTCTCGTCCACGGCACAGCGGAAGACCTTGCGTCCGGTGGACATGGCGGATATTGAACGGGCGTTCGTGTGTTCGTAGTGAATGGTGGATACAGGGTAACGACCACGCTATATCGGAAGACTGGAATCGTAGACAACCGCGACTAGATCGAGGCCGGTCAGCACGGGCCTGGAGCTGAGGAAGGAGGTTTGATGATGGAGGGACCTGGGAATGTGGGGGGGTGGGAGTAGTGGGATGTCGGTGGATTGGAGCCGTCACTATTTTCACTCACGATGAGAATCCAGTTGACAGGATTTTTCCATCTGCAGCATCTTTGTAACAATACAGTCTGCTCGGGGCCAAAGAACGCACCTTGAGAAATGATGCGATGGGCAGAGTTGGAAATATGCTGACTAAGCGTGCTTCAGGAACAAGACCGAATTTAAAGAGAGAACTGAGGGTTTCTATATATCGGGAGCGGGATACAGTCTAAGAGTAGAGAGAGATAGAAAAAAAGGATCATGTTTGTGAAGAAAAGGATTCCAGAGCCATCATGTCGGCATAAGTTATGACTTCACCTTCTTGATGAGGCCATCCGATTCCTTAACTCGTTGCGCCCACTCACTGGTTTCGAGATCCATATTAGTACTAGTAGCGACATTTAAATCACAGGGAAAACTTTGTATACTTACGTCCAGCTGCCGTCATATACCCGGCGCAGGTTTGGGTCACCATATTCGGCCTCATTCAGGGCTGTCTCAATGATGGAGGCAGTCACGCCAGTGCCGCACGAGCTGACAATTGTTTGATTTGGATCCACCTTGTGGTCCTCAAAGACTTTTCGCAGGTCTTCAGCAGGGAGGTAGGTCTTGGTTTCAGGGTCCAGCAGTTCTTGGAAGGGCATGCTCTTGGAGCCAGGAATATGGCCTGATGACAGGCCAGGGCGTGGCTCCGGGTCGGTTCCAGCCCAGCGACCATAGGAACGTGCATCCAGGATCTCTATTTCCTCCGCGCCTTCCTTGCCATAGTCCAATGCCAACTCCTTCATCTCCCGAAAAGAGATCACTAGTCGCGAGTCGTATGTCGGAACAGGGTACTTGGACTTCTCAGTCACCGCTGTTTCACCGCTCTCGGTTGGAAAGCCTTCTTTGATCCAGAGACGATAGTTGTTGAGGACGTGCACATTGGAATGGCCGAAGACACGCAGCGTCCAACCTACACGGGGCGCGCTGAATATGCCCAGGTCGGCAGTGTCGTAGACTACCACCGAGTCGTCGCGACGGATCCCCAACTCGCTCATGGCCTCGGCAAAGGTCTCGCAGGTGGGAAGCATGTGTGGATAGGGTGAATCCTGATCTTTGACAGCGTCAAGGTCAAAGAACCGGGCCTGCGGGATGCGAGAGTTGCGGAAGGAGTCAATTCCCTTGCGACCCTCTGGGTCGTTCGGCATGAACCATGCTGCACAGAGGGGAATCACGCGCGGTGAAGTTGAGATTTTTGTTGGGGGGTTCTTCTTGAGTGCTTCATTCAGCTGCTTTGGTGTCACTAGATACGAAGAAAAAGAGACATTGCGCTGAGCATGGAGCCCTGTGGAGACGGACATGTTGGGGCGGAAGAGACGAGCAGGAGAAAAGGATCTGGCTGCAAAAGCCATGGTGGGGGAGAGGAAAGGAGCGTTTTAAAGACCAATTTACATAACGAGGTAGCAAAGCCTCAGGAAATATCAAAATACAAGTCAGACCAACCACGAGTAAGAGGAAGTGGAAGAGCAGGGAAGAGCAATAAGAGGAGCACTATTGCGTGTTATGGCGGCATATGTGGAGGTCCACAGGTGCGGAGAACATGTGATAAGGCCGATAACAGATAGTCAGGTGTTGATGATTTTCCCTCTCTTCACCTCTGCAGCTTGGCTCTCCACTATCACACCCCACAATGAAGGTTGCCATTAAAGAATGGAATGCAGTTGCTACTTGGCACTGGAATATTCCTGAAGATGAAGTGTGCGGCATCTGTCGTGTTCAGTTCGATGGCACTTGTCCAACCTGCAAATTCCCCGGCGACGACTGCGCACTCGGTGAGTGGCCTTTCTACTCCCAATTCCATGCCAAATACTGAGTATGAGGATCATTACAGTGCAAGGAAGATGTAACCACGCGTTTCATATGGTAAAACTGCGGATTGAGCCTCCTAAGCTAGGACTGGGCTGATCAACTTCTTTTTGGAACAGCATTGCTTAATGACCTGGATTGACCTGGAGTCCTCCAAGGGACTATGTCCAATGTGCCGACAAAGTACGCTTTATCTGCATTTTCTCTGTGATATCGAGCTAACTGTCTCCAGAATTCGAATGGAAGGACAAGGAATAACGGCCTAATCCTTCTCATCAATAGTTATCAAGGCGTTGTCGGACGAATTCTAGATACCCTTTGTGTTTTTACTGGGCATGTATACTTGGATTGGAAGAGTTGGTGGACTTCTCCCAACTGAGCATCAAATTAATGCAGTGGTTGGAGCGATCTCGATCGACACGAGATTAGATCCCAGTTTATACTTCATTTTTACAAATCAAGGCTATTCCTACTGTGATGATTGTTATTCATGAGTAATGGCTTTCTCGATGTACATTTCATTGGTTAATATTGCATAATTTATAGTGTTGGATGTTCGGCATGCCAATGTATATATTGCGGATTGGGCCATAGATTGGTCGACATATATCATACCCAAACAATCTACCAACTACTATTATTCCGAAATCCTAAAAAATGAAAATACAAGCCATATCAGACATTAATGAATATAGGTACCAACATAAGGGTCATTTGATACAAGGTAAATAACACCAGCCGCTCCAGCTGTCACATTTCATATGATCACGTGGCGCTATCGATAAGAAGCTCTCCGCACGCGATACTGAACCTCTTCCTATCCCAAGCTCTTCTCCAGAATGATGTAGCCTCAGCTGATGGAGATGTCTCTGAACAACTCTCCTTATCACCCCCCTCTGTCCTCTTTCTTGTCTCGACAGTCCCTGCACGAGGAAGCGCCCTCTCGGCCAGACACCGCCTCTTCGCGCCCGCGTGATCGACACTCAAGAGGGCAACTGCCTGAGGGCCACCCATCAGACGAAACTCACCAACCCCCAGAAACAATTACCTCACCCTGCAAAGATGCATTTTTGGATGAAACCGAAGCCCACCCCGAAGAAGGCAAAGAACAACCTCCGTCTCACCCCGCATTCCAGCCGTTCTTCACCTTGATCGAAGACGCCCATAGCTCGGACTACCATCACCCAACGGTTCACTACATATTCTCTGACGATGACACCGACATCGTGACAGAGGCAGCCCTACGTAGTTTGGCCACGCAGCAAGAAGCTCTCTCCGATTCCAAGAAAGACCAGATCGCGCAGACCCAAGCATCCAATCTCCAGGACGAGACCAAAGACCCCTCCAACCCGGACCTAGCCAAGAGCACTCTACTCCCACCACCCGTTCCAGGCGTCAGGGAGAATTATGTCATCCTTGACATAGAGCCCTCACCACGCACACCTGAGGCAGCGCAAACCAGTCCGGTAACAGAACAAGTAGCACCAGGCAAAGGCGGGGGAGGCACCAGGTCCATATCCTCGTCGCCGGCGAACGCTCCCACAGTACCACGGGATCAGGGACACCCACACCCGCAGTATCGCGTGACAGCGGCGCAGAGTTTCTCATCAACATGGCAGGTCCTCAACACGGAAGTGGTGCCGGCACCCACTTTTGAGAATAGTAATCCTGGCGAGTCACCAGGACATGGGTTGATGCTGAAGATCCGTGGCACAGGTGGCCTGCCGATTAAGGTGAGCGGAAAGGATAAGGAGGGTACACTTGAGGAGATGATGGACCAGTTTGCGAGGCGGATGAGCGAGTTGCAGGTTGTTATCGACTCTGCAGAGGCAGCGGACTCGAAGGGAGAACACGATGAGGAAGAACTCGTGCAGCATCCCTTTTCTCCAAACACAGCTGAAGAGACTATCCATGCCGAGGGGGATAGTGCGGCATATGCCGCAGATGCTGAAGGGGAACATTCTTGATTTGTTATTGCTGTTTTCGGCGCATCGCGGGGAAAGTATTGGCATTTAATTGAGTCTAGTCTACCAATGGGCCAGTGCCGGCTGAACCCCATGAACATACTTTGAATAGAAAAACCAATCCAAACTGGGAGATCAAGTATGGTATTAAGATCGAATTTGGCATCCCTACAGGCATATCAATGTAGAACCAGAAACGCCAAGTACAATCGCCTTTCTATGGCACTCAGACAAAAGAAGAGATACAAAAGAATGTCCAACCCAACACTGTTTTCTCAGCCAAAAACTCCAACCCAGAGTGAAAAGCCCAGCGGCTATCGGGTATCAAAAATTGCCAGAAAAGAAGAAAAGCAAAACGCAGAAAATAATACGGAATCCACCTAATCAGAGGTGCGGTTTCTGAACCTTCGACCACCGGCGATGGCTGTGGGGGGCATATTTTCGCGACCCTCCTTCATGCCCGCCATCCTTTTTGAGAGCATGGTTTTGGGGAGTTTAGTCTCGGGGTTGTTGTTTGAGTTCGAGCGACGCCGTTTGCGGGAAGGTTCTGGCTCTTCCTTTTCTGGCGTCTCGTCCAGCTCCATGGATGTGGCCAACGCGGGGGTTTCCGGCTTGGTGGGAGGTAGTGCGTCGTCACCATCAGACACGACCGGTCTGGCGACGTTTATGTCGACTTCTCTAAGGCCAGTGTTGGAAGGTGGGGCTGCGGGTGATGGAAGAGAGTGGCCTACCTCTTCCGGGGTATCATTATACACGAATTTCTTGGACGGTGAAGTTTCGGGTGAGGTGGGAGCTGGGGAATCCTGCTGTTCTACCTCACTGAATGGCAGAGCAGTAAGCTGCTTGGACGTCCGGTGTCGAGTGCGAAGGCCGTCGTGAGCTTCCGTTTGGGGCATTTCCGAAGGGTATTCGTATCGTCGTTTCTGAGGGGTTATACCTGTTGGGACATACTCTTTCAGGGTGTGGCTCTGGATGTTGGACCGCATTTCTAAAAGCGGCCGGCGGACTTCAGTGTGTAGAGGTGCAGTAGTTTGTTCCAAGTTCTCGGTATGCATGTCGATATCCTCCTGGAGTTGCTCGACACGTCCGGTAAATCCATCGAGTTGCCCATGGACGTTTGAGCGAGACTCTCGGACATTTTTAGCCATGGAATTCAAATTGCCTAGGTGTGATTGATGGAAGAGACCATTCTGGGATCGTGCTTTGGCAACGAAGTCATCCAAAGCCTCCATTTGTGTGCCCATGTCGCTCATTTGAGCATCAACAATCCGGACAGTCTCTTGGTGCACAGACTCCGTTGCCCGATGAATTGAGGCATTGCGCTGGTCGAAATTCTACAGTCGTTAGTTTCATGTCGCGACCAAAAGATGTCAGTTGGTCTTACCTCCCAATCATTCTGCATCCTGGCTTTGATTTCATCCTTGGATGCAGTAATGTCCTTGGCAAACTGTTCCTCCTTGAAAATCCATTCATCAACGTGTCTGTCGTGCCGGGCAGTCGCTTGTTCAAGAGAGTCGCCTGATGCCGAGATGTCGGTGCGAAGGGTATCAAATTTGCCCTTAAGGCGGTTGTTCTGTTTATGACTTGAGTCCTCAAGGAGTCCCCGGATGTGAGAGATAAGAGTTTCACGCTCGGCTTGTGCACTGGCATGTTCCTCTTCTAGGACCTGTGCTAGATTGGATGAAGCCTTTCTACTGGCCTCCACCGTCTGGCGATTAGCTGCCTGCAGCTCGAGACGTAGTTTGTGGACTTGGGATTTCTGTTCGTCAAGGTGCTTTGCCATGCCCTCGAACATGATCTTGAAGTCTTTGCCGAGTGTGCTGTATGATGAGTGAAGTTGGGAGTGGAACTCCGAGAACTCCCCAATAACCTCTTCGGAGATCCGAGCAGCAGCAGCTGACAAGCCATTCAGGCCTTCGCCAACTTTGGCCTTGACTTCTTCTCGAAGGACCTTGATCTCCTCGAGGACTTCATTCATCTCGTCGTGGGCAGTAGAGGTGTTGCTCTTAGCCTCGGCCTCGGCCCTGTCAAATGAGGCATCAAGATCCTTAAGGTGGGTGCGGGTAGACTGCACAGTGTCAAGTTCATGGTTTACAAATTGGTGGATTTTACCAGTCATCTCCCCTAGCAGCTTCGCATGCTGCGTCTGGAAAATCTGCATGCGAGCATCGACCCGTTCTGTGACATGCGATACCTCGCCGGTTGCGGTCTGCCATGTTTGCCGGTTATCGATGTCCAAGTTATCTTTGCGATCCAATTTTGCGTGCAGTCCATTCACGTCTTGAATGGTACCATTCAAAGTGGTCACTAGGCCGGCACCAATGTGACGAAGTTGCTTTTCCGTATTTTGATGGGCCTTCCGCACAATCATCTCCTCGTCCAGTTTCTCTTGGGTATCCTTCCAAAACTTTTCTGTTTCATTGAGAACATCGCGCGTTTCTTGGAGTTTGGACTGAGTCTCCTCATTGTCATGTTTTAATGAGTTGAAGTTGCCCGTTATAGAAAGTAGCTCTTGGACCTTGTGGCGAAGGCTTGCCTCCATCGACTCGATCTTGGCACGCTGTTCATCATTGACGATTCGTCGCGACTCACTTTCCATCGTCATTTCTTCGAACGCATCAGGCGTCATATAGACACCATTGCGATGCCGGGTGGCAATGAGCTCGCTCTTCAGCTTTTGAATTTCCATCCCGATATCTTGCAGAAGCTTGTCTTTGGAGATGGTGGAATTAATCTGGGGTTTGTTGCGGATGTTCTTGGCTCGGAAGGCATAATCAAGAGTAGAGATGGTCTCCTCTAGGTTGTTTCGGGCAGGGGAAACAGTGGCGATGATACATGTTTTTGTTCGTCCTCCAAGTGAATCTTGTAGCAGTCTCGTAAGTTTCGACTCTCGGTAAGGAATGTGCGAGCTCTTGTCCACCAAAGCGTTGATCACTCTCCCAAGAGTGAGTAGGCTCTTGTTGATGAGACCTGCCTCTGCTGCCCTTTTATTTTCCGCACCGCTCCGTCCGATGTTCTCGCTACCCGCGAGATCAACCAGGTTCAACTTCCCCGAGGTAACATAATCCTCGCCAGATTCGGTCTTGCGATTTGTGAGAACGGTGATGGTGAAAACTGTGTGACTTCGGGAACTCAGGTCATTGCATCTTGTCGCTGCCACCTGGCGTTTGTGGCTGCCCGCTTGAAGTAATCTGATTCCGGTGGACGCAGAGTCGATGTAAGTCTCCTCCATGCCCTGAACCATTGTGCTGTGTCCTCCTTTCTTCTCATTTTCGAAAATCTTGAGCTTGGTGCTATCGTCGTATGACAGAAGGTCACGGAGTTCCTCGTTATAAAGTTCGATGAAGGAGCATTTGACTGTGCTCTCTGTATCCTCGAGCTTGTGAAACAGGGCGTAAAGGGTACGTGGAATAATTCCAGCATCGTCGGATAGGATGCCCAATGTGTCGGTCATGTCCCCTGACATGGTGTAAGTCTTTCCCGTTCCAGTCTGTCCGTATGCGAAGATTGTGCAATTGTAACCTGCCAACATCTGTAAGGAATTAGCGCCGGCCTTTTGATTTCGTATGCGGCGACTAGACTAACCTCGTCGAGGACCGGCACAACCACGTCCTCGTAGACAGTGGTTTGATCAGCGGCTGGGGAGAAGACCTTGTCGAAAGCATATGTCTTGTTTGAAACCGCATTCGGTCCCATCGAGAGATCGAGGGTCTTGCCCTTCACACCTTCTGGTGTTGACAAGACTACGCCGTTGTTCTCTTTGACTTCGCGATCGCTCCGGCCGCGACAGCGGACCACCACATGAATGCTTGTGTCCTGGTTGATCTCTCGGTCAAAATCTTTTTCCTTCCTCTTACTCGCAGCTCCCGTTTTTTCGGGGCTCCTCAGCGCACGCGCTGCGCTCATCGCAGATGACCTCACTGACGGTGTAGATACTCCGGGCGGTGCATGGCGTTCTGGGACTGCCGAACCCGCTCGTCGAACAGGTTGGCGCAAACCCGACCTCCTCGTGGTGGTGGGGAGGGTGGATGGGGGCCTTGGTGGGCCAGCCATGTTGACAAGGGGACGCTCGGACTGCAATCGTGGTATTATTTGCCAGTAATATCCAAGGGTTATTTTGAAAGTCGATTTGATCTTTTCACTAGCTGTCTCGGAGTCTTCCAGCGTTGTGTATATCAGTGGGGCTTTGTCTCAAACGGGAAAACATAAACAAAGCTTACATAATCCAGTCATTTCCCCCTCTCACATGACTCGGTCGGCTGCGCTATCGTCATCGCCATCTTATCGCTATCCCTACCCCCTCATATCGTGTTGACTTCCCCTACATCTCCGGAGACTCTTCTTTTTTGACTAATAAATATAGTTCGACTATCGCATGGACTTTCGTCCGCCCATAGTCGCTGGGCCATGAAAACGGACAGATCACTATGACTACTTCTACTTCCCCAACGCAGGCGCAAATCTTCCCTGGGAAAGGACTCGGGTTTATCAGTATGTCTCTTTGTCTAGCATCACAGCCTTTTCAGCGGTCTTGCTAATACTTTGGAAGCCCTGGGCGCTTCGCTCCACAATGTCCTCACCCGCGTCAAGTCCTATCCCCAAACCTATCCCGCGATCGACCTAGCCTACTCCCCCGCAGAGCCGCTGCGCAAACCGGTGATTTTGCAGTTATCTTCAAATGGTTTGCGCCTTCGATTTGACGGTCCTGACCAGAGGCTCCGTTTGATAGAAGTTCTCGACTTCTCTCGAGTAAACTTGGTCTACAAAAACCAGGAGGTGCTCAAAGGTGGGAAGTCAACAGAACGACCCTTGTCTTCGCACGGCCCTAGCTTCCGGCACGTCTACAATCGCTTGTTTGGTCCATCATACCCAGGAGAATATGTACCACCGGCAGATCCTCAGTCGCCGTATGGCACCTATGTGCTTTCGTATCCCGGGGTTGCATTCTCGTTTCCCCTTCAGCACTCAGCCTGGTCCGACCAGTGTGATTTTGTAGCGTTGTTATCTTCCTCAGCTGCCCTTCCGGCCACATCCATGTCAATCTTCCAAGGGTCGTCATGGCCCGAGGCCCGAGCCAAGTTGTTCACGCAGCAGGCACAGTACCCACGCTCGTCGGCTTTGATCGGCAAGTCCCGAGAATCGCTGGCGGATGAAATCGAGGAGTGGCATGTCCTTGGTGCTGGGAAACTTGAAGTGGTTCGCAGGACGAGTTCTCCATTATACATAAAACTGGGAGAGACGACTCCCCAGGACTTGATCGCGGACTTCGGTCCACCTGACGCAATCTACCGTAAGAACGACCGCCGAATCTCGATTCATCGTGCAACTGGGGGTGGGGACCTGCACTTGAGTCCCTCACCAGGCCGAGGGATTGAGATTCCGGACGGCGACCACTCATCCACTAACAGCGTAACTGATGATTCTGACGAAGAGATGACTACCTTCAATATTGGCGACCCCACCTCACTTCCCTCAGAATGCTTTTTGAACTACTTCCACCATGGGTTCGATGCCTTCATCTCGTATCCAACAACGCCTGGACCTGCTTTCCCCGGCTCAGGCCTTCCGGATCCATCGCCTCAGCCGCCGTCTTCCCAGCTGACAGTGACAAAGATCATTCTTCATGGGAACGTCCCAGGTTCTTATCCATTTAATCGTCACCGCCGAAGTCGCTGGTTAATTCCATTGGATGAATCTGGCGACTGTCTGACTTCAGAATCGCCCTATGATGAAATCTCAGAACGGCTGCGCACTATTTGGAAGGGATCTTACGCCAGCCTCGCCGAGGAGCGTGCTCTGCAACGGCCAATGGTGCTGAACCGTGGCTGGGGAGAAAGTCCCGAGAGCAGTGTTGAGTTCCTGGGTGGCTGGGAGGAGAGCACGGCCAAGGGTCCTCGGAGTGGTGCAGATGGACAGGATGGGGGATTAGGCAACACGGAGCTTTTTGGGTTTCCGGGGCTTCTATTTGAAGTTCTCAAGAATGGCGCCGTGAGTTGTTTGACAGTGTACTGATTTGAGACTATTGCCAGCGCGCTTTTTAACCATACTTCAATGCATTATGAATCATGACAAACCTGGAAATCTTCAAATGTGGAACTATATGTGACGATTACACACATAGGTGTAAATTGATAGCTAATGCGGTATTATAGATGGTGGTTCTAAACCACGTGCTTTAACAAGTCGGTGAGGTTACCAAAGTGCTATTATTGTATTTAGCTGATCTCAACGGTCTTCTCTCCGTGATCACTCTAGGGATATTGCAGAAGTTGACATATTCCATACTCTTCTAGTCCGCTGTTGAGTTACAACGCGCTTCACCTGTCAAATACTTGCAAGTATTTGATGGCAAGGACCCCGGATCCCTATCACTCTTGCCATGCCCGATTTAATCGGCCAGTCACCGTAAGCATTGACCTTTTCACCCTCTGATATGTTCGTTGTCTAATAAACGCCAGCTCCTGGAGGTAGCCCCACAGATCACCTGTGATCTGTTGCGCTTACCTGCAGAGGTCCTAATTGAGATATTCAACTGCAGTGATTCCTTGGATCGAATGTGTCTCGCCTTGGCGTGTAGACGCCTGCTACAGGTTTCATCGCTCGTGAGAATCCGCATACCATCGGTAGCCAAGCACAGGTTCCTGCCACCATCCACTTGCCAAAATATATTTCTTCTTTTCCGGCGAATAGCATCTCGCGATAATCGCGGCTGGCTCGACAAAAGCATCGGGCTCTGCTGCGACTGCCTAAGGCGTCGAACGAGAAGAAGAGAAATCTGGAAAACCCACAGAAGCAAATGTCTGAAGATGGGTGCAACAGCTGAAATCTGGGAAAACGCGGTAAAATCCTGGCATGTTGCATACATATTTCAATGTCCTGAATGCAGGTGTCGGGAGAAGTACTGTAAATGGGACCACAAGACCTCGAGGGTGCTTAAATTTTTTTTTGGCACAATGCCCGCGGCGCCTATCGCCATCCTTCTTACGTGGCCAAAGGCGTGTCTATCGGCCTTTGCAGCTCAAAATCAAGATGTTGTGACCTAGACTTACCACCAGTACGTTCTGATACTTGCAACACTTCCAAAAGCCACAGCACTTTATCCCGAATTGGCACCCTATAGCTAATGAGTCTAAGACTGACTTCATAACATTGATTGGACAAGAAACGGGAATCGACCCCGAGCTTCTTTTCAGATCAAGGATTTGCCGCTACAATGGTTGTGCAATTGCTGCTCAGGCGGCCGACCTAAAAGAGGCAAGCGAAGCCGGAGGACATCATTTTATATCGAGAGAGAGAGAGTCCAATTGGCTAGATCGGCGAATTCCTCTCAGGCTCCAATTCTATCTTGGAGTAATGTCATGTCTACCCCACATTCCCCTCAGCGGCAACGTGAGGATATCAAGTCTTTCGAATCTCGAATAAGAAGCATTGGATCCCTGGAGGGTAAACTTTACGATATGCGCGGAAGCTATGACCTTGGGGAGAGCTATGGGAGAGTGACAATGGTCAAATATTCGAAGTGATATTAATATGTATTCCCTTCAATTAATTATATGGTCTATCTGCGCTGGTCCACTAATCAGACCATCGTCACCTCTGATTATTCTATAAATACATGTAACCCATTCACATATATGACAAATTCACAAGCTCATGGCCTTCACAGGAACAGAAGATACGATCCCTCACCTGATCAAGTGCCTAGGTTCTGAGCCTCGCACATCTTCGGATAAAGTCGGCCTCTCCCCAGTAATTCCTCATGAGTTCCAGACTCAGCAACCCTGCCCCCATCAAACACGCAGATCATATCCGCATGGCGAATAGTCGACAAGCGATGGGCAACCGCGATCGTAATTCTATCCCCCTGGGAAGCCGCCTCATTCAGCGCATCTTGGACAATTCTCTCCGACTGAGTATCCAACGCACTTGTTGCCTCATCTAGTAAGAGTAAACGTGGGTTTCGGAGTAACGCTCTGGCAATAGCGATGCGCTGGCGTTGCCCACCAGACAGCTGTGTCCCATTCGCCCCACAGAGAGTCATAAGGCCATCGGGCAGAGAAGAGATAAATTCCCACGCGTTGGCAGCCCGACAGGCAGCTTCAATATCACTGTCGGGAACCGTCGACGCGTTATCAGTCGGTTGCCCCATGGCGACGTTTTCGCGAATCGTGCCGGGATAGAGGGTGGGTTCCTGCTGTACAAGTGCGGCTTGACCTCGGTACAGCCACGGATTCAAGCATTCCAATGTAAAGGCGTCAATTTTGATGTGACCAGCTACTGGATCGTAAAAGCGTTCGAGCATGCTAATCATCGTACTTTTCCCACACCCGGATGCGCCGACGAATGCGACAAATTGACCTTTTTCGATCTATACAATATATTAGCAGCGAAAAGGGACAGTTTTGTGACATAAATTCGACAGAACAGAGGGCGGAATTTAAAAGAGCACGAGTTGGGCTGGCGTACATGAAGATCAATGCCACGTAGTACGCGAGCATGGGGTCTCATTGGGTAAGAGAATTGCAGCTTTTCCAAGTGCAGAGACTTGAAGTCGCCAGGGCCAATATCTCGGTTTTCGTCGGTCTCTCGAATTGTAGGCTGGAGCTCTTCAAGCCAAAATATGTAATTTGCAGCGTTTGTTGCCTTTGTCATGCCTGTATAACTGTTAGCAGCCGGCTTTCGCCTCCCGCACAGACTTGGGATGCATCTTACTACTTGAGAAGCCAAAAAGGATCGAAGCTTGCTGGCCAGAAAAAAACACACTTAGGAAACTGGTGAAAAAGTTCACCATGCTAATATCTCCAAATGAGACAAGCCGGCATCCATACCTAGAGATGACTCGAAAGTTAGCATCCTGTCACAAACCCAACGATAAGCCACTTTGAGGAAGTGAAAAATATATGACAAACATACCAGAAACCGAGAGCCAAGAAAGAGTATTCAACTGTCTGAGTGAATGCGAAAGGGAGCATGATGAGAAGCACTGGCTTCGTGGATGTGACAATTGCCCGGTCAAGCTCGTGGGTGTATCGCTCCAGAACCGACGTCTCAATCGCCAAGGAAGACACTGTCCGGATGGCAGACACGGCCTCCGAGGCAATGGACGCACTCCCGGAAAACAGCTTTGAAATCTTGTGGTCCATTGCACCCTCCATTCTAATGCGAGCGTAACCGGAAGCGAGCATGGGTGGAAGTCCCGCTAAGACAATAACAAGGCCAAGCTTCCATGCATATACCAGTGCCAGGATGGAGCATGACAACACACCAACCGTTGCAACCAGTATCAGAGCAACATTAAAGCCCATCAGCTCAAACACGGCCTGGGGATAAGAGTCGACGCGGCTGGTCAGTGCCCCTGTAGTGTTCTCGGTGCGATCAAAGAATTGCAGGTCTTGCTTCATCATGTCCTTGACGACCTGTTTCCGGTATTTGTGGTTCATTGTCTTGGTGAGTTAGTCAAGCATATATCACCCGGAAGAGACTTACCTGTGCCACAACGTTTGATGTCCACCCGACAAGAAAGTAGACGACGAAAGCTCCGAGTCCCAGAACAAAGAACATGAGAGCGAAAAAGTTCCCTTTCGTCCGCATAGCTGCACCTGTGAACTGAAATACTTCGATGAACCTGGACATCAGAATAGCTTGGCCAGGGAAAGAAGCAGCTACAATTTGGTCAGTTTCAGTCTGCGAAAGTTGGGCTTCAAAATGCTAGCCTTACCTCCAGCTAAACAACCCAAAATTAGAACCGCAAAAGTCCAATTCAGCTCAGGTGTCGATTTCACCAATCTCCAGACTGTGTGGAGTAGCCCCAATCTTTTCCAATTGTCAAAATCATCCCGACTCAACTGCTTCTCCAAAGCTGATCTTGTCATAGTCGAGTGACGGGTCAATTCACCAGTCAGTGCGACATGGTCTGCTTCGTTTGTTTCATCCGAGCTATGTGACACATCTTCGTGGTCCTGCGCGGCCACAGACAAATCCTGAGCCTGCACGAGTCGCGCGTATGCCCCATTCGATTCCAAAAGGGAGTTATGCGTACCTTGCTCGAGGATACGGCCATTTTCCATGACAACGATATTATCAGCATCTCTTATAGTGGCTAGTTTGTGTGCAATGGCGATTGTTGTTCGTCCCTTCGAAACATTGTTCAGTGCCCGTTGAACGACTTCCTCGGCATGAGGATCAAGTGCACTCGTTGCCTCATCTAGAAGGAGAATTCGCGGCTTGGAAACAATGCTGCGAGCAATTGCAACCCGTTGTTTCTGACCACCGGATAATAGCCCACCTCTCTCCCCAATCACGGTATCATACCCACTGGGAAGTTCCGTGATGAAATCATGCGCAAAAGCAATTTTAGCAGCGTCCTGTATCCGGGCCAGCTTCTCGGCTGGGGGTTCATTCTCCCACGGTGTACCCACAAGGCCATTGGCGATGTTTTCAGCAACTGTACCGGCGAACAAAACGGGCTCCTGTTGAACAAGCCTAACCTGCTGGCGTAGCCACTTGAGGTTGAACAGCTCGATAGGCTGGCCATCAAGCTTGATCGTTCCCGACAAAGGGTCGTACCATCGTTCAATCAGCCCAACGATAGTGCTTTTGCCAGACCCGCTTGCTCCGACGAGGGCAGTTCTCTTGCCGGCAGGAATGTGCAGTGAGAAGTCATTCAACACCTTGACGTCAGGGCGCGTAGGGTAGGCGAATGAAACGTAACCAAAATCGAGATATCCCGTAACATCTGTTGGTCTTTCTCCCGACTCGTCGAACGGATCGATTCTCGACGTCCGGTCCATGAGCTTGAATAGCTCTGCCGCCGCAGACGCAGCGCGGACAAAATCAATCAGGTAAGGCAATATAGCGGTCAAGCTTGTAGCTGCCACAATAACGGACATGAGGACACTACGATTATCATGGTTAGCATCGCCAGCTGTGAGAAGATAAAGACTGAACAAACATGAAAACATCTCCAGATTGCTCCACCTCGCCAGTGGATATCATTTTTATACCCTGCCAAAAGCACAAGCCAAACCCTGCAAAGATGATGCTGTACTCCGTGGCAAACAGGCAGCCAAAAAGAGGGCTTTTCTTATTTCCGAGCTTTCTCGAAGCTTGCAGGAACTTGTCGAATTCGCGTAGCAGTTGATTTCGAAGCCCGAACGCGTGTACCATCCGAGAACTTGACAAAATACTCTCTGCGAAAGCTCCAGCCTGCGCGTGAACTTTGAGGATTTTTGTTTCAACAGAAGCTTCAATGGTGGAGCTGATCCCCAGGGCCAGCAGCATTGCCGGGGCAATACAGCAGCAAATGAGGGTCAACTTCCACTGAGTGACAAATGCCAGCACGAAGGCGGATATAAAAGCGGAGAGGCCCTGGACAACAAGCCCCAGCTTTTCCGATATCCCACCCTGGATTAGTCGTCCGTTCGAGGTAGCTTGCATGGCAATCGATCCACTACTGCCAGAATCAAAGAAGGCAATTTCCTGGCTCAGTCCCGCTTTCAGGTACAGCCGGCGAATATTTCGTGTGATCCGGTATGCGGCAAATGTAAACAGTGTGCTGTATCCATAAGTGAGAAAGAATCGGCAAATGCCAATAATGAAGAAGTAGAGACTACTTCTATGTTAGTTCCTTCTGCTGATCTGGATTGAAGCGTTGCACATACCTGAGTCTCCCTGCTTCGTTTCGGAATCTTGAAGCATCTGAATGACCCGACGTGTAGTCGGTGATGAGTGTGATAAACTGGCCAAAGACCAGATTGACGAGAGCCATGCCAACACCGGAACCAAGTGCGCAGGCAGTGGCAATGCCTTGCAAGGTATACTCCTTGGATGAGCCATAATGAAAGATTCTCTGCTTGGTGTTAGTCTATGAGCCTGCGATGGGAGGGGATGTTCCTACCAGATAGCCACCAAATGCATTCGTTTTTACCTCAGGTTCCTGCTCATCGGTCCTATCTTTCACGGATTCTTTCTCCATTGTAGATATTCATGCGAAACCCCTTAGGAGAGCATAGAGTCAACTTTGCTCTAATTTGATGGTGATCCATACACTGTGTTGGGAAGAAGATAAAGATAATCAGCATTCAATAATCGAGATATGTGGCTCTTTTAAACCTCCAACGTGATCTTTGAGGTTACCAAATTAACGTTCGCCCGGGGTCCGCGGGCTGCAATGGTGATGTTTGGCTGGTCTCGGCGAGGAGGCTGAGAATCCCTTCGGGATCCGCGGACCCCGATCCCTTGCAAACATATTTACTGTTATAGTAGCGAGGGAATGACAGGGATAATAGATACAAACTAGTATCCCTTAGTTGTAAATTGATAAAGCCATGAATTGTTACAATTATTACCTATATATGTACATAGGTACGGCCTGGTAGGAAAAATGCCAGTGCCAGGTAACCCATAAGACCTTGGGGGGTTCCTGAAACTGTGTCATGATGAGAAAGAAAAAAAAAATTAATATACAAATATATATAAAAAAATTAATAATTGATGGTTAAAAAAGCTACTTGATTCACTATATAAAAAGAGCCCTATAAATATTCCCTGGAATACCATGGATTTGACTATCCCAGATCAGAGCCGATTTGCAAGAACGCTCCGAGCACAGCTGGAGGACCCATTTTCTCCGCTCTCTTAGCCCATTCGGCAGGGGGGAGAACCTGGCGACTCCGTCTCCTTCTCAATATACATATTCCTTCAACTCCGAGAAAGGAATGTCAGAACCCCGCATATTTCAATTGCGATTTTGAAGCCGATGGGGCCAAGTGAAGTTCATTCATAATCCCGCCAACTGTTTCTAGCGCAACGATGTCCAAACTGCCGTGGAGCTGAGGTGAGATCGGCGCTGCCTGCAACATTCGGGAGAGGCGGCGAAGGTTCGGCATCAGCTCGAGAGTTTCTGTGGCATCCTTATAAGAGATGCTACTTAGCCGATAAATGGTAATGAAGAGAACCGATCATAAATCTTCTCAAGATATCACTCGCCCATTTTGAAGATGTGTACCCATCAAGTCCATCTGCAGGCGGCAGGTAAGACGACACAGACGATTTCGGCTGCCGTACAACCCCACCACGAGATGACGTACCGCGTGTCAAGTGGGCGAAGTGGGAGCCCAGGGCAAGAAGGGGGCGCAGCCAGGCAGAGCGGGCATTCTTAATCTTAATACTGCACGATTCTCGTTTCAGTCGTTAACAGGCTCTCACACATCCTTCTTCCACTCTTCAGATCATCAACAATCTTTTCATACGGAGGGGCACATGAAGGGACCAAAGGCGGCCATCATCAGGGAGACAGAAGGACAGGGTAATAGATTGGAATGCAGCATCAAGGGAAGCGGGATGCACCAAGTACGGGCCATTGTGCTGCCCGGCCTGGGCATTTGCTACATATCCACGAGCAGCTCCTAAACTGCGTCGCAGTGAGGAGAGAGCTCGGAAAGGTCCGGAGTATCCATATCCAATATCGGCCATGGTGGAATAGAAACGGTCCGAATCGAGAGGGTTGAGGTTAGGAACATCACCTGGCTTTGGCGGAAGGACTGCACCTTGACCCCCTCCCAGGGCCACAGCGACTCGGCCCTGAGCCAACAGCACCATGTCCTCGCGATTATCACCCCAGGCGGCGTGGTATTCCCATGAGGCGTCGATTTGGTGTTCATTTCGTTGAACATCGACCAAGGAGACCAGGGTCTCGACTTCGGTGCTATCAGTAGCAAAGGTCAGGGCTTGCCGAATTATGAAATCCTGTACTTCGATCAACCGGATGGGATTCCCCTCAGTAATGGTTCGAGCGGCCTCAATTGCAAGGACAATGTATCCAGCCGCAGGGAAGACAGATTGACCTTGAAGCTGATGTTCACTAATCCACGAAATGTCCAGAGCTCGCAGTATATTGCGCCATTGAATTTGGCGTGTGCTTCCATGGACACTCTGGCAGCCAAGTAGTTCGTGTTCAAGTCGCTTCCGTGTTCGGAGTGCCCTGGAAATCCGGGACTCGTGCCAGTAAGAGCGATCATGCATCCAAGGGTAACTTGGCAACCCTTTGACGAGCCGATGTGTAAATTTGCCTCGTAAGCGCTCTTCGTAAGATTGTAGCTCTATAGCATCAGGGACAGAGATCCACAATTGACCAAGAGCATCCGCCATGGCCTCGATGTCATTTTGCCCACGGTGCAGTGTCCCGGTGTAGGGAATCTGCAACCCAGACTCTACGAGAGTCTGAGATGCAGGTCCTTTTAGAGCAGGATGAGGTCCTACCTCCACTGCGATGTCGAATATTTCCTTGACTGAGATGGCGGATTCGATGGCTTGCGAAAATAGAACGGGTCGCACCATATTCTCAACCCAGTAACGGCCCCCCAGCTCAGCGCTAGGCTGCATTAATTGGCCAGAATAAACACTGGAATACCATGAGCAAGAATTATCGACTTTATCGTGAACAGTGATCTTGCAGCGTTCAATAGATTCAAAATACGCTGTCGAACAAGGCTCCATATGGTGCGAGTGATAGGCCTTGTCTACCACCAACCGCCGGACAAATTTTTGCTCGTCTTCTAGCACTACTTGCACCTGAGCCACTGCCTCTTCGTTGCCGGAGAGTGTCACACTAGAGGAAGAGTTGCAAGCAGCGACCTTGATCTGGCCTTGGAAGTCCGGGAGGTCACAGAGCTCATGAGCATCTTCCATCGAGGTACCAACCGCAAGCATGGCACCTTTTTCCCCGTTCGGGCCTTGAGCCTTGGACGTATGTAGTCCACGGAAATAGGCAATGCGAATGGCGTCTGTCGCTGAGATAAATCCTGCAGCGTAGGCTGCGGTGATCTCACCAGATGAGTGTCCGACAACGGCTGTGAACCGAATGCCAGCGCTGTAGAGGAGTTCCACCAAGAGTAACTGCACTGCTGTGCACAAGGGCTGTGAGATAAATGCTTCGCGGACTCGGCTAGTTTCGTCAGGGGCCAACATTTCTCCAACCAGCGACCAACTAGGCCGTTCAAATTCAGGAAGATCATTCAGACTTTGCTCGAGGGTGGAAATGAAATCTCTGCAGAAGCCTGACAGTTTAATAAGGTGTCTTCCCATCCCGGGCCATTGAGCGCCCTGGCCTGTGAATACTCCCAGAATACGCCGCCCATCAGAGGATAATGCGGCGGTGCGAACGCCGACCGTCGCTTCCAGGCTTGCGCGACTAGCCTTGATCTTTTCTTGGAGCTTCCTTTGCAGACTTTCAATATCTCCGGCTGAAATCGCAGCCTTGAAGGGAAGCTTGGTTCTGCGTGCGTGGAGAGACCAGGACAAGTCTTGCGGCTTGACGGTTGGAGTATCCTGAAGAAACGATGCGTACAAATCCAAAAGAGTGACGAGAGAGGCTTCCGAAGTTCCAGAAAAAAACAAATGGAATAGCAGCGGAGCCGGCATCAATTTTCTTGGATGAATGGGCAGGTACATAATTCTCGATGATTGCATGGGCATTGGTGCCGCCGAAACCGAAGCTGTTGACACTAGCCCGACGAGGCATATTCTTTGCCAGGGTAGGCCAAGGAGTTGTCTGAGTTGGAATACGCAGATTGCCATAGAACGGTGCCACAGTGGCACTAAGTTCATCAAAGAGCAAATTCGCAGGAACAGTGCCATGCTGGACTGCCAAGGACACCTTCAACAATCCAGCAAGTCCCGCTGTGCCTTCGGTGTGGCCTATTACTGTTTTGATGGATCCAACGAGAAGTTCTTGTTCGTGCTCTCCAGCTTGTGCGTTTGGGAAAAAAGCGGTACTGATCGCCCGGGCCTCAAGGGGATCACCGGCCGGAGTCCCAGTTCCGTGAGCTTCGAAGAATTGACAGCGGCCTGCGGGGTCCAACGGATCCAGGCCAGCCCTCTCATAGGTGTCACGGATCAGGTCGACCTGCGCCGTGGCACTGGGCAGAGTGATACCATTGGTCTGGCCGTCCTGGTTCACGCCAGTTTCGCGAATGATGCATTCGATCTCGTCGCCATCCTCCAATGCTGCGCTGAGCGTCTTCAATACGACAGATGCGATATCTTCTCCGCGGGCGTAGCCATTAGCTTTTGCATCCCACATCCGGGAGGTATGCCTGTCTGGAGCTTCCGCAGCAGAAGCTTCTCACGCGCAAAGCTGTGAATGCAGAATTTGTCATGGCTCACGAACTTCATGGAAAAGAAATTGCCCTGGGTCCTGAATATGGGAGGCCTGGCTCTCAGGCTGCTAAGGAACTTGGGGTTCAATTCTTTCGGGTTGCGGAGAAGCTACTGGAAGAAAACAAGATTAGAGCCCACCCTGTGCAAATTCTTCATAATGGATGGAAGGGGGTCTTGGATGGGTTCACTCTCTTAAAGAGTGGACAGGTGAATGCCCGGAAGTTGGTTGCACATCTCGGTCACTAGCTTAGGTGGGCTTGGATGTGAATTCATGTTCCAAGGTTGTGTTTGAATAGTTATTCTGCAGTTAGTACTATCAATTACAGACTTCGCTTCTGTTGACCCTCAAAATCCGAAATTCCCTGTTATAACCAGACCTTGATGCATTCCTCGGACACCTAGATATTCATACGAATAGAACGATCCTCGGTCAGGGATTTTACGTAACCATTATCTCAATAGACTAATTTACTTTACTGAGAATATAGCTGTGGTTGTCTAAAGATGATTTCTATACGCAGTAGTTCCCCAGTGTCCTCCCTTATTCTTTAATTTAGCTAGCTAATAATATCTCGCATTTGCCACCCCTGTTTTGGCTTGGCAATCGGGTCTCCGCAGCAACCATTGCCGCCCCTCTTCAAGCAATCAAGCAAAATCCCCGCATGGAAGAGGACTCCATAAGAAAGAAGGAAGAAGGCTACGCATGGAAGAGGGCTCCGTATGGAAGAAGACTACGTATGGAAGAAGACTACGCATGGAAGAGGGCTCCGTATGGAAGAAGGCTCCGTAAGGAAGAGGGCTCCGTAAGGAAGAAGACTAAAATCAGAGCAATAATTTGATCGACAAGTTATAGCACTACCTGCGCCGAATCTTCTTACCATGGCGAGCATTCGAATCTCCATCTACTCCATCCAAGTGTCCCACGCCAATCACGGAGCCCAGAACCTCACTCAGTAGGCTACTACGAGGCTCTTCAGGAAAGTAGTCTTTTCTCAGTGGTTCATCCGGTACTTCTCCACACTTCTCACAATCCTGAGAACTACCCTCATGAGCCTCGAGTTGGTGGTTGATCTCCACTGTGCTGGCTTTCCGCTCCCACTTAGCATGCGCTCTTTGGAATCGATCGTATAGGTTCACTTCGAAGGTACGGCCCTTGTAGTGGAACCAATCTTCAATGGCGTTGTGAAAGCGTGATATTTGCCAGCTGGCTGAGGTCAGCTGGGTGACCCCGCCTTCCATCTGCAAAACCCCCCGCTCTATCAAGGCACTCAGGTCGGGAAATATTTGCTCCATGCATGACACATGATAGTACTTGTTCGGTTCTACAGCTCGTGAGATTCAAGATAGGTTTTAACGGGACTGTGAGGACTTACCATAGTATCGACCGGAAAGGTCCTTAACATTGAAACGAAATGCAGACCTGATATTAGGTTCTCCAATTAACTTCCTAGGAACGCAGTCCCAGAAGCGACAGTGGCTTCTGCTGCTAGGATTGTCTTGTAAGATAATTACTCGTTTCTGATCGGTGAGCTCATCTTCAATGCACTTTCTTTCAAACGCGACTCGCTTGACTGGGTCCTGTGTGATCCTCTCCCACTCACTGTCGTCTTCATCCGAGGGATCATCAAGGTAATTTTCCTCGGGAGAGAGGGTGGCCGGCCTCTTATGAGAAGTCATGCTTTTTACGACAGACTTGACCTCAGGGGTATATGTGGTGGGATATAGTAATAAATAGGAGGAGTTGTCCTTATTAAGAAGGCGGATTGTTGCTGGAAGAGGGGAGAGAAACACGCTTATAAATGGTGCAATAGTCAAACCGTCAAGCCTCAGCTACGCGCCGTCTTAGCGCCCACGTATTGGTAACACTGACGCGGTGACGGCCATATCGGGCTTATGTATAGCAGGGCTGAAAAGATTGGCTAACTGAGATTCCCCACCTAAAGCGCAGGTCCGTGCATTTCATAATACTCTCGTAGCCCCCAGGTCTCTGACAAGAAATTATTTCAACCTGCTCGCAAGGACCACCTCCGCTTTATTCCGAGTCCCCGGGCGAGACGGGAGAGCCTGAACTTACTATCATCCTCTCCTGTGGTTCACTAGTACTGTACAGTACTCTTCGAAATCAGCTATACCTCAAAACTCCTTCTTCTTGACAGACCACTTAGAATGGTTTTGAAGATCTGAACATCGCCAGCTAGCTTCCCTCTCCCGTCAGCCACATTTTGCCTCTTTACCCTCTGCTTCCCACATGCAGCGAACCCTCGTCTTCGCTCACCAGTCATAATTCAAAAGGCTGTGCTTACCTTATAGAGGGACTGAATGTGGTAGGGAAAGATGTGTTGTCTATCTCCATGGGGTTTGCTACAGTCATTAGCGAAATCTGCTTCCACCTTAAAACTAGCCAAAGACAGAAAAGACCGCTTACTTAACCACACGATGGGATGGGAAGGGACTTCGACTGAAAAGAACAATCAAATATGTGCTGTGAATTCCATTTTATTTCGGATCATATAAAATTGACTGGCTCATACACGGGGAGACATAAGGGTATACGAGAGTATGTTCCGTTTCTAGCAATCGATCTCAACAGCAAGAATCACAGCACCGCTATCTGGCCGAGCGATCGAGGGATCTGTGGGAGTACCAGATCCAGTAATTATAATTGAACTTACAGTAATTGGACTATGTATTATATGAACCTCATGATCTCCTAAGTCTTTTGGAAGGGAAGTGACAGGGTGTAGAATAATCTGCTCCCTATTCTAGCAGCATCTGCACGATCTTGTCGTGTCCTCCACCCTAGGCGTTGACATCGGCTCCCTGGTCTATCAGTATCTGCACGATCCTTTCGTGTCCTCCCAAACAAGCAGCCTGGAGCGCATTTCCGTAGTCTCCACCCTGGGCGTTAACATCGGCTCCCCACTCTGACAGTATCTGCACGATCTTGTCGTGTCCTCCAGAACAAGCAGCCTGGAGCGAATTTCCGTACTTTTCACCATGGGCGTTGACATCGACTCCGTGCTCTAGGAGAATCTGCATGATCTTGTCGTGTCCTCCGTAACAAGCTGCGTGAAGCGCGTTACTATAATTTGAACCAAAGGCTCTTATAGAAAATTCACCCTTGGCGTTGACATCGGCTCCGTGCTCTAGTAGTATCTGCACAATCTTTTCGTATCCTACAGAACAAGCAACCTGCAGCGCGTTTCCGTGGCGTCCACCCTGGGCGTTGACATTGGCTCTATGCTCTAGTAGTATCTGCACGATCTCGACATGTCCACCGGAACAAGCAGCCTAGAGCGCATTTCCGTAGTCTCCACCCTAGACGTTAACATCGGCTCCCCACTCTAACAGTATCTGCACGATCTTGTCGTGTCCTTTAGAACAAGCAACCTATAGCGCGTTTCCGTGGCGTCCACCCTAGGCGTTGATATAAGCTCTATACTCTAGCAGCATCTGCACGATCTTTTCGTATCCTATAGAACAAGCAGCCTAGAGCGCATTTCCGCGGTCTCCACCCTAGGCGTTGGCATTGGCTCCGTGCTCTAGCAGTATCTACACGATCTTATCATGCCCATTCAACGAGGCCCATATCACCGGGTATACTCCTATAACGTCCGCCGTATTAACACCCTATTTCTTAACAGCAAGTAGAAAGTTAACTTCCTACTCATAGCCATTAAACGCCGCCAGATAAAGTGAATTCATTGACTATACGCGGCTGTATGGCATTATATGCCAAAAAATAGGAAACCACAGCGAAAACCGTTTTTTGCTCATATCATATACTTGATATAGTTGATCGGTCACTTCTTGGTCTAACGTCAAAGCCATCTTTCGTACGTGATCCGGCCAATATACTACTGAATATCTTAAGAGGTTTCGGATATTAGAGCAGATTTGCCTTCGCCGTCTTCCAAATCCTCCATCAAAAGGTATCGCAAACAGATACGAGCCATCTATTCTTCCGCATCACTCAGGCTGCTCTAGTATGCGGAATTGACATTATTAAAACTTTCCTTTTCAATAAGAAACTCTCTAGCTATCTGATAGATGAGATAGATTTTGGAGTTGTTTGTAAAAACAAACAAACCGTATAGCCGCCGTAGCTTCCTATCCAGGCTCCCCGTTTCTATTCCAGCCTCGGCTATAGTTCGGCATTTTAGACGCATGGCTATACCCAACGCCATAGCCATTTCGGATATCGCTAAAAGGCGTCGTGCTACAACAATTATTTGTAAAATCTTTCGGACTATACTCATTTACTTAGTTAGAACTCGGCTGAGAATCTTCTTATAGGCAGCATACACAGAAGAGGGAACGAGTCGGATTGGTTCCTCGGTAGGCCAAAAACTATTTACAAAGGTCGTTTCTATATCATCTATAGCTAAGTGTAGCCAAAGATACGTGCGGTATTCCATTTAAAGAAGCTATTTCTCGAGTCGATACTATTCATCATATAACAATTTTGCTATCTCGGCTAGCTCTTTTACTTTGATCTTCACGACTAGATCTATCTCCCGGTGGATTTAGTCATTATCCTCCTCCCCCTTTAGATATAGATATAGGAAGGAGTCGGTGATCACTCGGAAGTGATTCTAGATATAGCTATAGGGGCGACTAGTCACTAGAAATTTCAAACTAGTACCCTCTATTAGGCTGCGCCAAAACCCACGAAACCCAAAACCCAACCCAACCCAACCCACTATTGGGTTGGGTTTTGGGTTTGGATCTCGACCCATTAGTGGGTTTTGGTTTTAGACCCCAAACCCAACCCAATCTATGGGCCCCCATTAAACCCATTAAAACCCATTAAATCGTAAAAACGTGACTTCCACATGACTACATAATTTATGCAGTTCTAGGTGGTTTTTTTAAATATTCCTCCCAAATTGTTGCATCCAGGGCTCGCTAACAGGCTGGTGTCTCTTTGCGCACGTAGCCATATATGGAAGCGCTATCAAGAACCGGGAGATCTTTCGAAAGAGCGATTTCCAGGAGACTGGTGAAAATGAACCCGGTATTACTGCTGAGAAAGACCCGGAAGTTCATCGACAGATCGCCAAGAAGCTTGTTCCTGCATTTAGCACCAAAGCCCTGAGAAAACAAGAAGATGTGATTCATCAACATGTCGATGACTTTGTCGTTCAGCTTCGCAAACACGGAATGACTGATGAAATTGAGATGAAGCAGGTATGATTCCTACTTAGGTAGGTTCCTGCAATACTGGACAAGGACTGACATTCCCTAGTGGATCGACTGGCTCCTCTTTGATATCGCGGGCGATATGGCGTACGGTCGAAAGTTTGAGCAGGTCAAAAACCGTATGCGAAAAGGGAACCTCAAGAATTATGCGAGCATACAGTCTCTTATTAACACGTTCACTTAGTCAAATCATCCACTTTCCTATCCACGTTTGGGAAGGTCGGACTTTGGGGCACCCCCAACCAAGTCACTCGACGGTTTCGCATGCTTCGACCCTTCATTTGGATGCTGATTCCTCCGTCTGTGGTGCTCACTGTACCCACACTACTCCGTCTGAACAGACAAGAGATTCGTCGTCGGATGTCGCAGCGAGACGAAATAAAACATCCCGATTACGTCGAGCAGCTGCTTCCCAAGGATGGCAAGCCAGATCCCACCGAGGACTGGATCCTCGCCCAGGCCAATGTATTTATCGTGGCTGGATTTGACCCCATGACGAACTTAATCTCATCTGCACTGTACTATCTCTTGGCAAATACAGATAAATATTGCCATGCTATGAAAGAGATCAGAGACGAATTTGCCGAGTATAATGATATCACTGGTGAGCGCCTTCAGACAATGAAGTATCTTCAAGCAGTCATCGACGAGTCGTTGCGCCTTCACACCAACGCAGCATTTGGACTCCCCCGTCTGAGTCCCGGATACGAAGTTGATGGCAACTACATCCCTCCTGGGGTATGTATTTCCAATTATTGCTGCTTTCTTGGCTTGGATACCGGATCTGACAAGAAAACAGGTGATAGTCCAAACATGTTTCTTTGCGACCACGCATTCCGAACGTTACTTCAATGATGCCCGCTCCTTCTGCCCCGAGCGATGGCTGCCATCTTGTCATCCGCTCTACAATCCGAGATATGAGTCCGATGACCGACAGGCATTTACTCCCTTCTCACAGGGACCTCGGGGATGCCCCGGATTGAACGCTGGGTACCTCCAGGGCCGAATTATCTTAGCTAAGCTGTTGTGGTCCTTCGACATGGAACTGGCCAATAAAGATGCGATTGATTGGGAGAAGGATATCAAGATGTTTGCGATCTGGATTCGGCCAGATCTTTTTGTCCGGGTCCGTCCTGCGAATGGGAAGGCGTAGATCATTGCCAAATACACGAGGCTGGAGATGGATAACAACTAGGTCTTTTGATCTGAAGTAATGCAACACGTCAAGAAAATAAACCAATCATGGGTGCTATATCTTTTCGTATTTGGTACAAGCTACCCGGTTCGACGCGTGTCGGATAGTTTGTTAAACCGACGGCGACTTCAATGCCACTTTTGACATCGGACACGGTGGACTAATAGAAACGAAGGAAGCCTGGATTGCTCCGGAGCAAAATACAATGGGCCGAACGAATGACTCAAGTTATTCCGGTGATACTTGGCACTGTAGATATTCCACTCCGATCTCCAGGTGTCTATGCCAATAAACCAACGTACTATACAGCACCGCCGTAACTAATGTACGGAGTAATCGCCCCCAGATTCCATCCCGTCATTTCCATGCCCGAAATGGACTATAACACTCGTATTGCAAAAAATTTATACATCGCAAGGTCTGTTACATTACGTGACGTGTTGCATGACCTATGTATGTAGGATGTACGTAGGTAGACTACGCGGCTGGCATCGGAGCACTTTTTATTATCGGAAGAGTGTCCAGGCGGGTATAAAATCAGTTGATACCCAAAATTTTTGAATTTCATTTCAAACGTGACGCTGCTCTAAATATCACAAAATATCAAATATTGTTCATGCAACGTTTCATCCATAACGGTCATTCGAAACTCGTGGCCCAGTCAAAGCCAACGCGGTGAAATATAATCAACGAGACAATGCAATAGCTGTGCGGATCTATAAGAAAGGGTTCTGTTCCAACATCTGCTGGATCTTTTTCATATTCTCTCTCAGGGACGAAATATGCCCAACATCCATCCTATCACTCTCCTTGTCATCCTTTTGATTCATGACCATCCGCAACAGCGCAGTAAGCTCCGAGCTACTGAGAAGGCCATCGTTGGACCCCCTTGCTGGGTCAAGACGGAACTCCGCGGATGTTCCCAGCAAGTGCTCGACGTGAGCCAGAAGATGCATGATCACCTGGACGAGAATCTTGATCTGCAGATTCCCGTACTGCACGGGAAATCCTCCAACCTCAAGGCCCGGTAAGGCTTGGAGTGATGAGATCGACTGGTGCGACATTTCAGACAGAGACTCGTAAACATGCGAGAAGAGGATGTTATAGATCCGGATAATGTGAATGTAGCAGGTCAAGATCACCAGAGCGGCCGAGATATCCGGTTTGAAATCATCGCAGGGCAGGGGGGTCATTGATTCTGGAGTGTACATTTGGGCAAAGGGCCAAGAGCTGATCTGAAGCGGCTGCACGGCGTTGTTGAGGTGCGCTCCCACGCCAGAGCAGTACATGCCAGCCGATGACGACAGCCTGTTGGGATCCGAGTTTGGTGACTGAAACCCAGACCCCGGCTGGATAAAAATAATAAGTAGATTTATATAAAGAGATTAAAATTAAAGCGATTCCGGGCTTATAACTAATAGAAAGTAAGGTATAACGAACGTACTAGTAAAATTCACGATAGTAAAATTCTCTATCTAATTAAAAATAGTAATAGTCTAGTTTTGATAATCTAGTCAGATATAATTAATAAGCAAAACGTATAGTGAAAATGTTATATGATTTAATAGTAAAAAGACGGTAATCCTAAAATAATATCTGGTTTCTTGACACTATGGTCTATATATATAAAATTATAGAGTTCTTTTTGGCTGGTAGTATATTATATAATTAGGAGGTGTGGGGTTAGGTGTTGTTAAAATTAAAAGACCTGTCACTATATATATTGTATAGTTAAATTAATCGCTAATTAATGAACCAGTAAGCGATCTGACTATCGGAAGACGCATTCTATCATAAAACCTCCAAAATATGATAGTCATGGAATGACCTTTGGCCGACTAGATTTTTTGACAACCCCATCTTACGGCTGAAGCCCATGTAAGCCTAGATCAGCCTGACAACGCTGACCCGCTCACCAACTAACCAGCTCAGCAGGTCTCCGACCAACTCAAAATCCGGCCATATTATCAGATCTGATTATTACCATGATAGATCCGGCCATCTAGTAAAAGGAGTGAGTTCGATCTGACCACAACCCTTTGCTACCAGAAATCATCTCGCTTGGCGATATGTCCGACCAAGGCGGGGTTTTTGGCGCCTTTGGTGCGGTGCTTGGTTATATCGGAGCAGAGGCAGCCACCGACATCTGGTTCTCGTCCTTATTATGGCCCCAGCGATCATTCTCCCACCTCACACTTCGCTCCATCCCAACCCTGGCTCTGCTGATGCCCATGGGGGGTCCTTTGCACAAAGCCGCTCTAAGCACGTTCGATATCGCCAACGCCCAAGGTCTCTTTAAGGGCGCCCGCGAAGGCCACATGTTAGGCACTTCGTTCTTTAAGCAAACGGACTGGACCTACACCATTCCCGGTACTGCTAGTTCCGAGCCCCGCGCAGCCCGTAACTGCATGTGGGCGCGAGCTCTTCATTACATGCCTCTACCCACCGAAAATCTTGGATCACTGGCAGGACTATCCCCTCCAGTCACAGGCTCTGCCATCGAGAAGGGCATCCTCCCGCCCGCCGACAATGGCCGCACCCCCTTACGAGCGAAAGTCGCCGTCTACCACCTCATCTTCACTCCAGCAACGGCAGAAGATAAAGCCTCGCAGATGGCGTTTGTGCGCGAGAACTGCGGCCGACCAGGCTCGCACGTTTACCTCAGCATCTTCATCGCCGAACTCTCCGGCGTCGTTATCTTTGCCGTCATCTACGCCATCGGCCGATCACTCTGGTGTCTCATCTGGCTAGCCCCACTGCTCCTCCGCCTCCTGAGCGCCTTCTTCGCCCTCAACCGCGAGCCCCTCACCCCTATCTCCTCCTCCATCTCATCGCCATCAACCACGCCGACCACCGAAGCCGAATCACCTCGTGATTTCGTCCTGCACTTCCCCCAATCCCAAGGCGGCGACCTCATGCTGTTCACAGGTCTCTCAGCCCTCGTGCAGCAGTTCTTCCGACACTACGGCCACCCAGTCCGGAACCGAACCCGGGAGATTCTCCAGCTGTGCATTATAGCGCTTTTCGCCGCTCTATTTCCGCTAGGATTGCTGGCCTCGACTCTCTGGATGCCGCCGCTGGTTCAGTACGCGTGGACCTGCTACCAGCTATACATTGTCATGACGATGCATATCGTCCGCTACACGTCATTTGGACGGGACACAAGCACGGAATCTAAGATCGCTGATCATCTGGCGGATCAGCCGGCGATTCTTTTTGGGGAGACCAGGCACGGGGCTGAGACGGTGAAAGTCAGTCTTATTGCGACGTATCATGCGCGGCATCAGGAGGCGAGGGATTGTTTGGAGCGGTTGGTGAGACGGTAGTCTTGGGTTTGGCTGCAGTGATGTCTTGAGTGCCACTGAGAATCTGCATCAATAAATCTGACCCCGTACTAGCAGAAGCACAGCCAATAGCAGAACTAGCGCGTTCGCTTAGTTTTTTTTAATATATAACCCCGCTTCTGACCTCGTCACTCGTCTCTACAAATAAACACTACTACCAGCGTCTTGCGATTATTTACACTTATATTAGACAGAAACGCCAGCATAACAGCATGAGCCCCGATGACTGGGTGCCCGTGGGCAGCACCGAGAGGGATAAGGGATACCCCCTCGCCACGTTGATGCAGGTGGTTTACGGCGAGGACATGGGCATGGGAGACGGGTACAGCAGGTGTTTCTCGATCATGTATCGACTGGCTCTGGAGCAGGGCGCAGTCGACAGTGTAAAAAGCCCTGATGGCACGGTCATCACAAGGTTTGATGATGATCGTGCTGAAAGCCTGCGACAACTTCTTACCCCGGGGCAGGAAAGATCGTTTTACATTCTCTGGAAATGGTGGGCAGCGTGTTCCCGAGTATGTATTGTGGACGAAGCAGAAGAAGAATATGATGATAATTACGACGACCTCTTTGGCGACGACGAGTCTCACTTCTACCCACAAAACCACGTAGAGCACGAGACGATCCACCAGGCCGGTGGGATCCGGTACAAACTCTGCTTCAACTGCGTCTACAACAAGTGCATGGCAACGCTGTTCAACGCTGAATTCGAGAACTTCGTAATACACCGAAGCGGCGACGAGCTGGTAAATCTCCGGCGGGACTTGGCGCAGGAAGCTGCTTGTCTAACCATTGCGATTGAAGCTTGCTCCCCGCGGAGCCACACCCAACAGCCAGCTCAAGTACCATACTCCCCAGATGGCGAGAGTTATCTCGCTCACCGGTCAGAGAGTTCCCCAGTCTGGCGCGCAGGGAGACGGGTCCTGGGGAGTAACGACCTACCCGGGCTGGATCCTCGCTGTAGCGCCGGCTCCAGTATCGACTCCTGCCCCTGGCTGGGAGACATTCGCGGGTTCCCGCTTTACTTGTGGGATGTGAAAGAGCGGAGGACCGTGGAAGTCTTTTCGCTGTGGGACGAGTACGATTTCGACATCCCGTACACAGCCATCAGTCACACCTGGGGCCGGTGGCGGCAGCGCGGTCAGCCTGGGGTTAACATGAAACCGCGCGTGCCGTGGCTGATCCCGCGGAACTCACTGTTCGATGTCGAGCGACTACCAGATATCCTGGCGCAGATTCCCACAGATACACCCTATATCTGGTTTGATCTGGTTTGCATTCCGCAGGAGGGCTGCGGAGAGGAGCTTGACGAGCAGCTGCGGCAGGCCATGCGGACGGAGGTTGCGAGCCAGGCATCCATCTTCAAGGGCGCTAAACACGCCATCGCTTGGTGGAATACCGACTCCGCCCCAGAGTCCTGGGACGGCATGCGCAGCGCCATCCAGTGGATGTCCTCTATATATCTGGACCTCCAGTTCTCGGATGGGGATGAGTCTTCCATACGTATCCCGCCGTGGAAAGCGCAGGACCGGCTCCAGGCCACGGGGCTGTTCTCACCGGACATGGCCACCCTGCCCTGGTTCAGCTCCCTGTGGACGCTGCAGGAAGTGTGCCTGCGCCCTGACATCTGGATCTGCAACAAGAACTTCGACCTCCTCACGGTAGGCGACAACGGGGCCCTCGTCGCCTTCAACACACTCGTCTCCCTCACCGAACGAGTAAAAGAGGCACTCAAGAGTGAACTTAACGATCTAGCTACCCCAGCAGACCACCTTCTCGAGCGCTGGAAGCCCCTCGTCCACCCAGGTTTCCACGAAGTACTTGACCTCCTCCATCGCACGGGAATGGACAACCTCCACGAGCTCAAGCGCGAGCAGATCCTCTTCCTAGCGACCAGCCGATACTGCAGCCACAGCCGTGCGCAGGCGATCATGTCCGTCCTCGGCATAACAGAATGGTACAACTCCGCCACTGCCATGCCGGAGCAGCGCCAGCCCAACAAACCCGGCTTCGTCTTCGACCAGTACCCGCTCGCCTTCGTGCAGGAGGTTGCGCGCAATCTGGGCTCTAGCTTCTTCATCACCACCGTTCTGGCAGATTACCTGCCCGTCGACGATGTGAAAACTCAAGACGCAGTCCGGGGCACTATGCTCCCCTTCCGGGCCCAGATCTCCGAGCCGCGACGCCTGCATGTACCGCGCTTTGGGACAGCGGACCATCCGTCCGTACCGACGTGGGAGGTCCGCGGCGACGGGACGGTGTTCCTACCGGAGGTGGAGATCCTCTTCTCATCCGATAGCGACTATGGCGATATCAAGTATATGAAATGTTTTGTCGATTTTAGTATGCCGGTGCCTGAACATATTGTTGAACGGGAGCATCTCCAACCCCAAGGGAGCATGTATCATGGGGATCTCCGGTACTGGATTAAACAGCTCATCCCGGAGATCTACGGAGTGCGTGGGACGTATTATGCTATTCATCTCCGGTACCGACCCGGACAATGGGATGGTTTGTTGTTGAAGGCCGCCGGTAGTGGGGACTCTTCGCAGCCGGAGAAGATGATCAAAATCGGGCATCTCCATGTGCTGACCTTGGTGGGAGATGGGGAATATCTGCCCAGGCGTAAATCAGTGGACGTTAACTGGATTGTCTTGTAGATTCGGATCTTTGTTATTATGTATACGCTCTAAAACGGCTATACGGTATGGTGATACGCAAACTGTCTCTGGCACGGTCGAGAAAGAGGGAGGTCATCTGTCACGAAATATTAACAGGCCCCAAAGATCCAAAATAGTATATTAATAACCAACAGTGCCCAATTTATTAAAATTTTAAAATGGTAGTCTCCAGAATTCTTACCCATATCACCGAATTCCTACATACCCATATCACCTATATCATCCATACTCAAAACGCTAAACACAGTGCTGTTTCAAGGCAAAGGGCACTTTGAGAATTGACCGTGTTTAGTATGTGGCTTAAGTACGGCTGAGCGGACGGGAAACCCTGTTTTTCCGCACCCTATGGTCGTATGTACTAGATTTTTCGTAGAAAAGAAGAATATCGCAGGCAAATGAAGTAATTAGTATCATTTGGCCAGGTTGGCATCAGCCCTGAATGGCTACACCCAGACCAAAGGATCGTTTAGCGACAGACCTGCTAATTTATTCGTGCGTTAAAAACCTGCAAGTGGATAATGCTAGTATGGAAGATTATCAAGGAGAGCGCCCTCCCTCTCGACAAGAAAAAAAGAATCGTCGGCGTTTGACATATGATGATTGCCTAGAAGGCGCCGATTAAAGTTGGGAACTCTTGGAGGTTTTGCTCCCAGCCCTGAGAGCCAGCTAACATACCAACGATATATGCAAACAATGCAAACAATCTCATCTAAGCATGTTGTCTTGTGGCATGCGATCACTAGATGGTAACACCCAGTCCACTTATGAAGATCGATACGTGATGGTGAACTGTATGGAGGTTTAAAAAAAAGGTCTATGGATCCCCGTGGACGGACTGCCGAGTGGGAGAAGGAAAGAGAGCGGGAGATATACATAGCTCTCCATGGCCGTAGCAAGCAGGTGCTATCCAAGACCATATACAATTTCCAATTCTTACCTACTGAAACATATCGAGAACGGTAGTATTCGTTCCAAAGCGTCAATTCGATATCAAAATTGATGTTGGTAAGTGAATATGGGATATGGAGCAACCAAGTCGCCAACAGAACTGCGGAGGTGGCTTACTTATATATAAATAAAGGAGTCGATTGGATGATCGTTGCACAAGGCAAGGACTATAAGCATAACTAGCTACAACCCAATATGCATCGCTTTTAATTATTGTTTAAAAGATTACTTTCGGTCTACCACCATGCGACAACTCATCCCACTCGCCTAGTCAGAGACACCTCTTGTAGAAAGTAGGGTATGTGGATAATGTTGATTCACTTTGCATTCCTTTCGTTATATGGTATTGCCATCTTTGGAATAGCTCCAAGCCCTGTCAAACTCTTTCCAACCCTCAGGCGGCGCGTCCCATATGGCCAACTCGCGAACCACTGTCTTATAGCATCTATCACTGGGCATATTTCCCTGGCAGACATTTCCTCCAACAGCGATGTTGATGAGGATTCTGAACTCACTCATCTTCCTCGTGCCAGGCGGCTTCTCGGCCCTCAAGATGGGTCTGCCATCAATCAACCAAATCAAGCGCCCCCTGCCCGTTGTTTCGTCCTCATCCCAGATGAAATCGTACCTCACCCCCGCCGGCGAGCTAATGTTCGGGATTGGGGTTTCGAGAACGCGATGCTTGTTCCAGTGCTCGCCGTTGAAGTGACCCTAATGCAGACAAGTGTGGTTGACAGCATCGCCGTTCCACGCTTCCATTATGTCGACTTCGCCATCCTCGGGCCACTTGAAGGGGTCTTTAGGCAGCAGCCAAAAGGCAGGCCAGATACCTCGGGCCACCGGCGCTGTAATTCTGGCCGACAGACAGCCCCGTGGTCGACCGAGGGTCTGGTGACTCGAAAGTCTGGCGCTGGTAAACTTCTAGGTAGGGTCGGGGTGCCCATGGTTGATCAGAGCGCGTACAATCACCGCATCGCCCTGGGGTGAATGGAATGAGTTTTGCGGGCTGTCGATATAATTCTGCGACTCATTGTTACCCCATCCATGTTGACCCTGTTCGTGGTAAAAATTGGCGGATACCGGTGCTTGAGGATGTAGATTGGGCTGCCAGTAGATCTGGGGTTACGTGTGCTGTTCCTGATAAGCTGGTGGTTTGCTAGAGGTTGGAATAGGCGGTGAAGGCTTGTTGTATGAGGGTATCTGGGGGGCGTGATGGCTTATTTCCTCCCAAGCCTTGTCTGCCTTATCGATAATGCCCTGAAGGGCCTGTTTAAATGGCATGTTGAGTACGACCTATGGATGTTAGGCATAAGTAGCGAAGACGCGGAAAAAAAGAAAGCAAAGCTGACGTCATATTATAGATATCCCGACAGGATCGACCCCGGAAGTTCTTAGACTCCTTACATCCCCTTTCACGCCCTTTCGCCATACTTCGGGAAATCTTGCTCTCTTCCCCAGACTGAACAGATCTAATCAGCGGCCACATTATGCCTTACTCAGACCCTATAAAATACAGGCCCACTTCTATCTATCAAATGACTACTTGCCATGCAGGTAGTGCCTCGGGCGCCGAGAGTATGCAAACCCTACAAACCTCGGGAGCGCAACAAAACTTTTTGGCATCGCAAAATTTAAAGCCCTTTTAACCCCAAAATACTTGACCTGTCTAGTGTGTTAAAACCTAACGTTAGTTACATCATTACACATTTTTTCTTTCGACATAATCAATACCATTACCAACACGCACTTCTCTGCTCGCATTATCTCCAATTATGGCAGAAGCATGCCACCACCAGCCCGTTGCAATAGAGCTCTCCAAAGCAGAGCGCTTCAAAGCTACGCACCTCGCCGCGCGCCATGGCAACTACCACCAATATTACTCTAAGTTCCGGGCACCCACCGTTCCGGACGTGCGCCTTTCAATTCTCCCATCAGATATCCTCCGCAACGCGCGAGTCATAGATCTAGGCTGCAACGCGGGCAAATTGACCCATAAGGCGATAGCACACTACGGCGCGGCCTCCTCAGTGGGCGTTGATATCGACCCGTGGCTGGTTGAGCAGGCGAAGGCGGCGTATCCGAACGGGCCATACACATTTAAGCACTTTAACTTTGTGGATGCGTCCGCGTACACGGTACCGCGCTGGGCAAGTTCGACGTTGTCCTACTACTCTCTATGACCAAGTGGGTATATCTCAACAACGGGGACTCCGGGATGTTGACGCTATTTGCGTATATACGCAGCATACTAAATAACGGGGGCTATCTTGTCGTGGAGCCGCAGCCTATAAGCAATTACGCGAGAGCTTTAAAGAAGAATAAAGAGTTGAGAGAGATATATAAAATGATTCAGATCAGGCCACCGTTTAAGGACGAGTTGAAAGCATAGGGATTTGAAAGGATACTAAAATTTGAGAGGGACGAAGAGGGGTTTACCAGGCCCGTACATGTTTAGAAAAAAATATCATAATACGATCAAGAGAGATGACTAAATGAGCCCGTTGAATTGACCTCGGGAAGACGTAGACATTTTAGTAGGTAGAAATGTGACAGACGATCCATATTTAATATGGTAGGTATTTACTAGAGAAAGTGATTAGGATTTGTTAAGAGATATCTTAGTGATTATCCATCGTCCCTTTGCCAAGAGGGTTGGTTCATTTATGTCGCGACTTAGGACTCTTACCCTAATTCTCTCTCTGTCTGACTATAGCGCACTCATCCTTCCTATTGCTCTAAATCATATATTCTATAATCCTCGTCCATTCATAGCCTTAACAAATATGATAATAGGGAGTATAAATCAGGGCTTCTCGTCTACTTAGCCGTACTTAAGCCAAGTATTATATATAGCTAATACTTAATACGCCCTTAGTATCTAAGCGGCACTCTAGCGCGAGCGCGGGTGGTATAGGTAAGAAGTCTAGAGACTAGGGTAAGAAAGGTGAGAAATTCTCACCTAGGGGTGATAGGGGCTAACTCACTTAGCCCGTTATAAATAAAATATATAAATTCGAGCTCTAGACCCTGTAGACTTGATCCTCTAGCGCAAATACGTCCACGGCTCTAAAGTTAACTGAGATTTCAGTTTGTTAAATGGTGTCCTCGCCTCTGAAGCCACCGCTATATGTTCACAATTAGATAGAAATAAATGTGGCCGTTCTTCCGAACAAACCCAATATAGAGGATAAAAAATTTAAGATATCCGGCAATAAAGGGCATACGTAGTATCAACGGGATTATTTCAAATCTACTTTCTATCCGCTTTTAGTCTGCTTTATATGTGTAGGTTGATATTGAACCTAAGTAGAGCTATCTGGAGATATTTATTGCTATATAAGCCAATATTGAACTGTTTATCAGGGGGCGATTGTTGACTCCTTGCACACCATAAAAGAAATTTAGTAGCAGCGTTTCTATAGGAAGTTAGAAGTATCCACTTCATAGCAATAGTATTTGAGGAGAATAGAACATACACAGCAGGGCCGGACATTCCCGGAAGAAGCATATTCTTGGCAGAATCTAAGTACGGTACTAAATAATGGTACGTACCAAAATAGCTATTCGTAATAGGGCTTATAGTTTCTGGAATGTTGGCTGTTTGTAGAAGCCGCATCTGGAAACGGGCGTGGGTACTTAGTCTCTATCACCTAGGGGAAATAAATAGCGACATGGTTTGTAATTGAGCGTCTGCCTAATCTCTCCAGTGTAGATAAACTATAGAAGGCATAGCGTCATGCAAAATAGAGTTCGAGAAAGAATTAAAGAGAGTAAATTCAAGCGCGTCTATATCTATCTGATTTGATTTAACGGATTTCCGCCTGCCCTCTCCCACTCCGAGATTAAAGAGTATACGGGCGTCGCAGATCATGCTAGGTCTTACGACAGAAGTGAAGCCCCACGGTCGGATTTCGCCGCCGACAGCCGAGAGGCTACACGTGGTGCTTTCATCTTGAAACAAAACAGGCGCAAAAGCACAAGGCTGCTCGCTCTTGGCCGCAAAGCTAGATCGCGGTCCATAATGCCGATGCTGCTGTTAGGTCGAATCAGGAAAGTAGGGGCGCAAGCCAGGGCAGTTTCTTGGCTGAGCCGCCCGGTACCCACATCTGCACTGCATCACCAACACCGATTTCCACTCCTGACTGGAGTACTATTTCTCCTAGTAAGTCAGTCGTTCAACGCTGATTTCGTCATTTTCGGATCTTGAGCTGCACTGTTCATCACCAACTCTGATTCCCATTTCCAAGTGGCGCACTATTTCTCCCAGCAAGTCAATCGTTCAACGTTTGTCTCGCTATTTTTGGATCTTGAGCTGCACTGTTCATCACCAACACCGATTTCCACTCCTGATTGGCGCACTATTTCTCTAAGTGAATTAGCCGTTCAACGCTGATTTCGTCATTTTCGGATCTTGAGCTGCACTGCTCATCACCATCTCAGGATGGCCCCGAGCGTCAACAAAAAGCGGGGTTCTGATTGGCTCTTTAAACAGGCTACCTGCTGCATGTAATACGGAAGACCATCTAGGCACCCCAGTGTTCTTCTTCTTTCTTCTCATCTTGTCCACCGACTAAATCGAATGTTTTGGACATGTAGGTGTCGTCAGGTGGGGAAAGGTATGTTAGAGGTGCGGCTGGCCTCGATCGACTAAATTATCCACTCCTTTCTCTGCTATTTGAAATCGAAGCACGGTATTTACAAAATGGATGGCGCACCTGAAAATTAGCACTGTTTGCGTCGCCCCTTGAAAAGAACCTACTGTAGATCAAGTCGACGCAATACAATGCACGAATTAGAGACTAAGCGATATTGGGCAGAGTGAAAGGAGGGGAAACTGACATACGTGTGGTTGACTGCACCTGGGGCCGACTAGCCCTCGAGGGTCTTTTCGCGCGACTTTCTATTTTGGCATGTCATAGACACTGTGGCAACACGAGAGTACAACCCTAGGTACATATAAGCCAGAAGGGTAAGATGTTAGACTATTTTAAAAGGATCAACTTAAAAGGCCGAATGCTGGAAGGAAAATACAATGGATTATTATATTACTGCTATTCATATAGAAGTTCAAACCCACCGATGGTAAACATACCTAAAGGCCATTAAAGAGGTTAACGGTCCCGGGCCAATAGCCGATTGACTTTCGGAACTTTCCGAACCTTAAGATCGGCCATTTCCAATATCGGATTGATCTTACCTGATTTTTACTACCTGATTAAATCAGAGTACGGGGCCAATGCAGTCAGCATAGGGAATACACTGGTAACGAAATGCCGTCTATGGGAGTCATGGATCGGCTCCGGGGATATGGTAGCATCCGAATCGGTGCCAAACAAAGAAGAACCATAAAGCTCCGAAAAGGTCGGCCAGACTGTCTCTCCGTCGCCGAAGCGGCCAATTTCCCTAGAAACAAATTCTTCTTGCTCAGCTTCCACTCTTGACCAGCATTCTGCATACGAAACTCGTACTAGCTGGGCCCAAAGTACCGAAATCGTCCGAGGTACACGACAAGCAGCCGGATGAGGTGGTGAGTAACTGTAGCTCCATACAGAGATACCAGTGCTAATATTTTTCATCTTTTCTTCGCTTCAGAGATAGCATCACCGTGATTTGACAACGTCTATCAACCATGGCAGTGGAAACGGAGCCCGGATCGCGAGAAGAAAATGGGCTGCGAGGGGAAGAGGGTAGTGAGGAAGCGATCGCCAAACCTCCACCCATGAAAAGAGGGTTCCAGTTCTGGACCATTATCTTTGCACTCTGTGTGACCGGTCTCCTAGGGGCACTTGAGAATACGGTGGTTTCGACTTCAATGCCAACAATTGTGGAGGACCTGAACATTGGCGACAACTATATCTGGATCACGAATGCCTTTTTCCTCACCAGGTGCTTTTATCCCCTACCGTCAGTCTTAGTGACCTGGTGAAACTGACACTTTCTGGAAATTCTCCAGTGCAGCGGTTCAGCCCCTATTTGGCCAGCTAGCCAATGTCTTCGGTCGTCGATGGTTGACAATGTTTATCGTCGCCGTCTTCACCCTAGGAAGTGGCATCTGCGGTGGTGCAAATGGCGCGAACATGCTCATCATCGGACGCGCAGTTCAAGGAATCGGAAGTGGTGGCATCAACATGATCGTCGACGTGATCGTCTCAGATCTCGTTCCATTGCGTGAGCGCGGAAATTTTATCGCCATCGTGCTCACCGTGTACTCTATTGGCAGCTCGATGGGCCCTTTTGTAGGTGGAATCATTGTCCAACGAACAACTTGGAGATGGGTCTTCTATATCAACCTACCTGTTGGCGGGTTTTCGCTGGTGCTTCTGTTCCTGTTTCTACACACTAACTATCAGCGCGATACCACCTTTTCCCAGAAAATCAAGCGTATCGACTATATCGGCAACGTCCTCATCATGGGAGCTACGGCAGCGGTGCTCTGCGCATTGACATATGGGGGCTCACGCTATGTATGGAGCTCGTGGCGGATCGTCGTGCCGTTGGTGCTGGGACTTGTTGGGCTGGTTGTGTTTATGGTGTTCGAACAATCCAAGTTCTGTCGCGAGCCTGTGGCGCCACCGCGCCTATTCAAAAACCGAACCTCCCTTGTGGTCTTCATCAACACATACTTGTTCACGGTTCTTCTGTACTGGGTGTTGTTCTTCATTCCGGTTTACTTCCAGGCCATTTTGGGGTCTTCGCCAGCCCGAGCAGGTGTTCAAATGCTGCCCATTACCCTCGTTGCGATTCCCGGCGCCATAATTGCAGTCATAGTCCTGTCGAAGTTTGGAAAGTACAAAGCCCTCCACCTGGCAGGTTTCGTCATCCTCACATTGGGTATGGGCCTCTTCGCCTACCTCGACCGGTACTCATCCGATGCGGAGTGGATCATTTTCCAAATCGTTGCCGCGCTAGGATCTGGAATGATCCTGAACACCTTACTCCCTGCCTTCCAGGCCCCACTTGCAGAATCGGACCAGGCAGCAGCCACGGCAAGCTGGGCATTCATGCGGAGCTTCGGCAATATATGGGGCGTGGCTATTCCCGCTAGCATCTTCAACAATCAGTTCAATAAGTATGCCTATCGCATTTCAGATGCTGGCGTGCGAAAACTACTCTCCAACGGCCACGCCTACCAGCACGCATCCAATACATTTATTGACAGCATGGATGACCCGGTGAAGAG